TAAGATAAGGTCGGATATAGATCGGATATAGCTCGGATAAAAAAATCCGAGGGGGGAGGTGGGATAGACCCGGATAGGATTTCTAATGCCTATTTTTCTAGAAACCCTATGCTCCACTCGCCATCATCTTCATCCCCACACCTTGTGCGCTTTCACCAAACAAATTTCTCGGGTTTTTTTCCTTCACCGACTCCTCCGGACCCGTGAATAGAAAAAAAAAATTATCATATCCAACTTTAAATCCGTAGTCCACCAAACAGTGGATAGGATATGAAGAAATCCCAGGATTTCTTATCCTATCATATCCAGTCCTATCCTGTTTAAAAATCCGGACGACCAAACGCAGCTTAACAAGGTTCGGACTGGATATGGCAGACTGATTACGTGATCATTATTGAAATTGGAAACCCCACTCAGAAAATTCGAGGTTGCCCTAAATTATATGGAACTTCATTAATTGGTGCAAAGATCTTTTCTATTTTCTTGTAAATAGTATAAATATATAAATACCCATATGCAAAGATCGATGAAAAAATTACTAAAAAAGTTCAAAACCTATTGCACTCGTGCTAGTTCGATCCTTAACCTTTTTAATTGCATCAATTGATTTCATTTGGCCAATTTTGGGTAGAAATTGTTGACGTGGACGCCAGCAAGCGCTAACGTGGATAATATTTTGCAATTTGTTTGAAAAAATTCAAAAATTTCAATAATTTTTTATTTTCTTTTTCCTTTTTCCTTCTTCCTACGCTTGTCACCGGAAAGAAGGAAAAATTGCAAAAAATTATCCACGTCGGCACCAGTCGTGCCACGTAGGATGGCCAATGTCTATGTTAGTAATTTCCGGCCAAAATTGACAAAAATATTTAGTCTCAATTGGCAAAACTGAAGTGTTTAGGACCGAACTGGCCAGAACGCAATAGATTTAGAACTTTTTGGACAATTTTCCCCCACTCTTGTAACTCGTATTATTTCAATTATAAAGTCACTGAATTGACTCTTTCCAATAAATCTAATTGGGCCAAGTTGGAATGCCAATTCTGGAGTGGGCTGTCTCATCATTCATGCAAGTCATCGTCACCCACATATATATTCATGAAAATGGGAAAGAGAGTGCGACCTGTCGTATGATTGTGTGGCCGCATAACACCAGCATATTAAAGCCCACTTGAAGCAACAAGTTCATATCTGCATGGACACCACTATACAAATTGGTTGCCAATCATATACCATATGTATTCTATAAACTATGCATTGGGAGTGTTATCTAGCTAGACTCTGCAACAACGATTCCCCACGTTGTCTTTAGTTGTTTCCCCCACTTTGCCTCTTTTCCCCAGCACTTGTCACATCTCAGGGAGACATTTGTCTAGTCACCAACCTCAAGCATATATGTTCTTGATCATCCAGTGATTTCCTATGTATATGACAACTAAGATGCCTCGTTATCTCGTGGCGGTGGCGGTTCGATTGTCGCCGGCTGTCCTGTATCACACGTTGCTGCGTTAGCGATTTCCAATGAAAATTTACCAGAAATGACTATTATTAGAATTTTGTGCAAAGATTTGAGACCGCATTGATCAAATTGGAAAGTTTGTGACCGAATCAACATATTGTAAGATAGGTTGAGGACTGATTGGATAATTTTCCCTTCATTATCTTGTAAGGAGGTTGATAACTGAATTCATAATAAGGATTGTGACATGTTGACATGGGCTGCTCCATGTATATTGTACTTCCTTTCTATAGGTTTAAACTTTTCTTCGACTTAATCCTTGCGCGAACGTATAAGAGAACTAGTTATCTAATGAACTGCCATCTTTCTTTTCTACATGAGTTCCGGTCGGTTAGCATAGTTTACAGCATCTCTGGTTTACGACGAGGATAAGTCCTAGAGATTTGCCAAGGCGACCATCGGAAGCAGCCATCGGGCAAATTAAGCTCGCATGCGAGCGTGCCGCGCGACTCGGCCTCGCACGAGCTTTACCCACTTGTGAACGGGAAGAGACGAGAATTCTTTCCTTAAAGGATAAGCAAATTGCGATATGGCACGAGATCTAAATCTGGAAAGATCGCTTCCACGATGCATCCATATACCCTTTATTCTATTCACATGACGTTGCATATATCCCACAAAAGAGCGCTTCTATATCTACACATCCTCCTTATATTAATGTCTAGGGGAGGATGCTCTCACTTTGGAGATTCACCCAACATTGCAAATGTGCCAACTTTAGTGATTGAACGTTAAAATAGTAACGTCTAAATCAAGATTATGCCTCTAGGCTAATTTCTAATTGAGGTGGAATAGCAGTACATTCTTATGAAATAATACGATAATGATTTGAAAGCTCGAGGTGCGTATTCGATAGTGCTTTCATATTATGGCCTCTGACCGGGCACACTAACCCCTCGAAAAAGAAAAATACATTAAAAAAAAATTTTAAAAATATGCGAAAGTTCTCGCTTCAAATTTAATTAAAGACGGGTCGGTAATCATTGATCATGCATGACGATGACTTGCAAATGTCATGATCAAATAAAATTATTTTCTCCTTCCCAAGAGATATTTTGCCTTTAATCAAGGTGGCATGCATTTTCTAAATGCTTTTTTTTCCGAAATATCTCTATTTTTTTTTCTAGAATTTTTCCCTATGCCTTTATGCTCCGTGCACTAGCAAAAGCAACTTAGTTCCACATCCACAATGGGAACATGAAATGAAAAAACAAATGGTTGAATTTGTAGAATTAGATAGCAATGCCCTTTACCTTCGAATCTAAGCAAACCATATCTAACAAAAAACATTCGAATTGGACAAACATTTGTGATGTTTCGAATCTTGGTTTGGCAGAAGACATTTTTCCGTCTTGTCGTGTCGCGTCGGTGTGCTTGAATCTGCTATAGTTGATATTAGGGGAATAAAGAAGGGGGGGGAATTGAAATTAAAGTACCTTGAAGATAGGAGGTAAAGAATTCCTAGTATTCTTCCACACTTCAGAAGCTCATATGATGTCCAAGTTCATGCTTCAACAATTACTTGAGGACAGACAAAGACAGATCTAGGAGAACTATGTGATTAATTGGAAGTATATTAGGATGCACAGCTTCAGAAAGCCCTAATTTCACCGAAATATCAAGAAACTCTCTCCGCCAAAAAATGGAGTTTGTATCCGAGTCCTGGCCCAACTGATTTGCCCGAGTGCCCATACGTCGTCTCTCCATATTCGTCGAGTAAGACTCCAACAACAGGATTGCCGACGTAGCTCCTAACATTATTTTAAGCGGGCGTTGCCGAGTCTTCCATTATTGAAACTGGAAGAGTCGCTTCGGTCCAAAAGAAAAAAATAAAAATAAATAAATGTGTTACTTTCACATTATTAGAGCTACTTTTGTCATATAATTAGATAAAGCTAATATTTCATAAATGGATTTAAATATCACTAAAGGAGAAAAACTGCATCTTCTTTATGAGATAGACCAAAAGGAGATGCACGGTGGCTCCTATTCGGTCTATGATTCACGGGGTCCTTTCGAACTGTAAATGGGCCGAAATCGATTGGGCCCAATTTACATGGGCCGAAGTGTCGGGCCGGACTAAGCCTGACGAAGTCTTAACAGGCCCAGTTAAGGATAAATCGCGATTTTATTGAAAAGGCAAACGTCCTAATCATTTCACTAGGGCGGACCAATCAATCATGATTACTTACAAGATTTCACTAATCCGAATTAGTGTCCATTGGAACTTTAAATGGGCCGAAATTGATTGGGCCCAATTTACAAGAGCCGAAGTGTCGGGACGGACTAAGCCCGACAAAGTCTTAAGGGGCCCAGTTAAGGACAAATCACGATTTATTATTTAAAAGGCATATGTCCTAATCATTTTACTTGGGCGGACCAATCAATCATGCTTAATTACAAGATTTCCCTAATCCGAATTAGGGTCCATATGAACCGTAAATGGGCCGAAATCGATTGGGCCCAATTTACACGGGCCGAAGTGTCGGGTCGGACTAAGCCCGACGAAGTCTTGATGGGCCCATTTATGACAAATCACGATTTATTAAGAGGCGAAACGTCCTAATCATTTTGCTTGGGCGGACCAATCAATCATGCTTAATTACAAGATTTCGCTAATCCGAATTAGGGTCCATTCTAACTCTAAATGGACCGAAATTGATTGGGCCCAATTCACAGGAGCCGGCGTGTCGGGCCGGACTAAGCTCAACAAAGTGTTAATGGGCCCAGTTAAGGACAAATCGCGATTTTATTAAAAGGCAAAACGTCCTAATCATTCTACTGGGGCGGACCAATCAATCATGATTAATTACAAGATTTCGCTAATCCGAATCAAAGAACAGAACCGGGGCAAACTGTGGGTGTCAACCCGTGGGAAAAAAACCATGAAAACGGTGGGCCTCGTGACCCGTTCTTTACAAGGCAAGTTTGTCAAAGGTCAAAGCCATGGGTGTTGGTTGGTGGAGATAGGCTTTGAACTTCATAGAAAAAGTAGTAGCCACACCAAATTTATTTTCGATATCATTCCCCATATTTGGAAAAACCATCTTTTAAATACCCAGAAATCATTTTTCTTAAAAAGAGGGAAAAAAAAACGAAAATCGAAAAATCATGTTATGGATTACCCATCTTTTGACCCTCATTAATTGAGACATCGTTTTGTCATAATAAGCTTATATTATATAGAAAAGAAATCCAATTCTTTCGTTATTTTGCGTCTTTTTTATTGTTCCTAGGTTTTTCTTTTCCCTTAGTATATCGCGTGCACGACCTACCATGACAACTATCCCATCCTAAGTTCGTCAGACAACGCAATTCTTTCGCATTCCCTTATAATAATGTCCTTCACCAACCTTGGCAAAACTATACCATCTCACAATTTTACAAAAAAAAACAAACAAACAAAGAAAAACTTCCCCTTTAATTTCAATTTCTCCACCTATATATAGTCACATTTTCAGCGCATTCAATTGTCCCAAATCCACAAACCTCTCTCTCTCTTTCTCTCTGCATGGCTGTTCTTATTTTGCTATTCACCTTCACTTTATTATACCTCTCTTACAAATTATACAAACGCCTCACGCTAAACCTCCCGCCGGGCCCGCGACCATGGCCCGTCGTCGGAAACCTCTACAGCGTTAAGCCAGTGCGCTTCCGTTGCTTCTCCGAGTGGTCGCGAGCTTACGGGCCCATAATCTCGGTTTGGTTCGGGTCGACGCTGAACGTCGTCGTCTCGAGCGCTGAGTTGGCGAGGCAAGTGCTTAAGGAGAACGATCAGCATTTAGCGAATAGGCACCGGAGCAGATCGGCCGCAAAGTTCAGCAGAGATGGGAAGGACCTTATTTGGGCCGATTACGGGCCTCATTACGTTAAGGTCCGACGGCTTTGCACGCTCGAGCTGTTCTCGCCGAAGCGGCTCGAGGGCCTTCGGCCCATTAGGGAAGATGAGGTCACTGCCATGGTTGAGTCTCTTTACAGAGACAGCATTAGTCCTGGTATATATATATATATGTATTTTTTTTTTTTTTTGGTCGAAAGCCCTGGTATATATATGACAATATTTGTGTTTTTTGGTATTTCGGGTCGAAATGTTCATTTATGAATTGAATTATCGACAAATGCTAAGTAGGAACATAATCTTCTGTAAATGCAGATAATAAAGGGAAGGGCTTGATGGTGAAGAAGTACTTGGGGGCTGTGGCATTCAACAACATCACAAGGATAGTGTTCGGGAAGAGGTTTGTGAATGGCGAGGGAGTGATGGACGAGCAAGGACAAGAGTTCAAGGCCATCGTGGCCAATGGTTTGAAGCTCGGGGCATCCCTCGCGATGGCCGAGCACGTCCCGTGGCTCCGCTGGCTCTTCCCGCTGGAGGAGGAGGCGTTCGCCAAGCACTGCGCGCGGCGCGACCGCCTCACCCGGGTCATCATGGAGGAGAACGTGCTCGCGCGCCAAAAGCCCGGTGGAGCCAGGCAGCACTTTGTGGATGCGTTACTTACACTCCAAGGAAGTTATGACCTGAGCGAGGACAACATTATAGGCCTCCTTTGGGTACGGTCAAAACCTTACATTTACAATTTGTTGAACTTGAAACCATGCAATTTGAGATTGAAGTTGCACGATTTGAGGCCTAAGGGAGCCAATTGGGGCATCAAATTTTAAGAAATTTAGTCTAATCACCTTTCTTTATTTCAATTACAACGTATAAGCAGTGAACCCATTGGTGCAGGACATGATCACTGGCGGCATGGACACCACGGCAATATCGGTCGAGTGGGCCATGGCCGAGCTCGTCAGGAACCCGAGAGCCCAGCAAAAGGCCCAGGAAGAATTGGACCGGGTGATCGGACCTGCCCGTGTCATGACGGAATCCGACATCCCGAACCTCCCGTATCTTCATTGCGTCGCCAAAGAGGCCCTCCGGCTACACCCGCCGACGCCGCTGATGCTGCCCCACCGGGCAAACGCCGATGTGAAGATCGGCGGCTACGACATTCCGAAGGGCTCGAACGTGCACGTAAACGTGTGGGCCATAGCCCGCGACCCGACCATTTGGGAAAGGCCGCTGGAGTTCTGGCCGGAGAGGTTCATGGAGGAGGATGTGGACATGAAGGGCCACGACTTTCGGCTTTTACCATTCGGAGCGGGGAGACGGGTTTGCCCCGGAGCTCAATTAGGAATAAGCATGGTGATGTCGATGTTGGGCCACCTCCTACACCACTTCTCGTGGGCTCCAGCTGTCGGGGTGAGGCCCGAGGAGATCGACACGGGCGAGAATCCGGGATTGGTTGCGTTCATGAGGACTCCTCTTGAAGCAGTTCCTTCTCCAAGGTTGGCTGCAGAGTTGTACAAGCGTGTACCTGTGGATATATAAACTTCACTTCTATTTTCTTTTTTGGGTAAATTTTGCCTCTCTTTTGTCTTTTTCCGTGGTTTGTTATGTAATCTGTAAGTCTATTATGTTCAAGCTTGCTTTGGCTTGGTGAATTTCAAAGTCCTTTGCGCTTGACATGATAAAAGGTTGGTTCAAACTATGCCTGCCTGGGCTCCGCCTAGAAGGTTCCTCACATGAAATCATGTTGTTTGTCAAGAAGCATTTCTGTTCCAGGACTTACATTCTCCCACGTTGTTGACATTTCCCACTTTTTGGCTAGTATGGACTACGGCGAATTATGGCGCGAATACGAGAACATCAAAAGAACTTCACCGCGGGACGCCTTCGGCACCAAAGAGAAAACAGTGTTAATTGTTTCACCTCACTTTTTTAAGCAGACATCGTCTTTCGATGCTATTCCCTCCATTCTTTTCTTTTCGGATGGGACGAGATCAGAACCTTGAGAGCACATCAAGGCTCAACTAGCTCGCCGGAGAACTTGAACTAAGTCCAATCCAAAAGCTAAGAGAACCGGCGAAAATTGCAGAGAGAAGCCTTCCTAACCGTTGATTAATTAAAGATCGCCAAATTTTCACTACAACAATGGATGACTAAAAGAGCAGAAGCGGACTATTCTAACATTCTCTGAGACTACGTTCCCTGAGAAAATCTAACGGCAAAGGACAACATTCTTGGAGAATGATGATGATGTTAGCTTACAATATGGTAAAATTCAGATGCGATATAAAACCAAATGCAGAGAGGAACTAAACTCTTGCCAGGGAGCACCAAACAGGGTATAATCTTCCACATGCATACCGCTTGTCTGGTGACGATTTGGACCTCTTCTGCTCCTCATGTACTCTCCCCACGATCTCCCAGCTATCCGACTCACCTCGAGTTTCTACATGAGGCTCCTGGTTTTAGCCCTCCTCATCGTAGTCTTCATCATCCTCATCAATGCGGGTACCCAGATTTGCTAATTGAAGAGGGTCAATGGCCATCTTGTCCACCTCAGAGAGTGACCACCCTGGATATTCTTCATGTTTGGCCTCGTCAGTATTAGGTTCCTCAGATGAAACACCAGCTGCTGGAACTTTGGCTGGGGTGCCCTCATTCTCAGTAACTTGAGTGTTCAGATCAAAACCATGCGCCCCGAGCTTGGAACCATCAGTGGCTGGGATAGTTTCCTCAGCAGTTTTCTTTGGCTCAGAGCTGTCATCTAAAATTGTTCCTTGATTGGTAATGTTCTTGTTAAGAGGTTGCAGAGATGTGGTCGGCTCGGATGATTCAGTTTCATGGTGTGGAGTCTCCCTCTCGGTGGCTCGACCACGCCCTCGGCCTCTTCCTCGGCCACGGCCTCTTCCACGGCCACTGCTGCCAGTATGGGCCATCTCAAGCTGCAGTTCGAGGAGTAGAAACAGCTCTCCCGTTCAGACCATATATAAACTATCCAAGAAGTGAGAGGTAGAGCAATCACAATGAAAGAAAAGGTCATTACCATCCTGCTCTTCTTGGATTCTTCATCAGTGTCGTTACCATCATCGATGGTGGCCTTCCTGGGTACCAAAACAACAGAGTACATCCTATTATTATTAGCTAACCTATCCGAATGCTCGACAAGAAAAATGGAGGGATACGATATTCCAACCTTCTCCTGGACACTGTTCTATCATCAGAGACAGCATCTGAATGACCATGACCATGACCATAGTCAGGAACCCTGCTGACAATGTCCCTCAAGAAATCAAACACATTATAGCCTTGCACACAATGTTTTCTGCAGAAAATAGTATTTTGTTGCATCAGATCCAGCTCTGCTTTAAAAGTAGCAAGAAATCATATTTTTCGGGGGAAAGCTGAGAGAGGATGATTTGGTCACTTATTTAAGAGGGAAATCAAAAGCAAATCATCTGTACCAATACCAGGGAAGAGATGAAATGTATTATCTAGAAGATGCAATGATCATCTAAGCTATTAATCTAATTGTCCTTCACACTCGCACTTCTAAGTGCACGTGATAAATGCATTTCAGAACGCATTTGGTTGATTGATTGATGGTCTTTACTCAAATAAATCGCCTTTAGTTTACCAACTGGCCTTAACACATCCATATAAGACTTGCATAGAACAGGAAACCTCCATAATCGAGAAAGCTGCTTTATCTCACAAAAACTAAAGATCATGGTAGGAGAGAAGACAAAAGAAAAAGATTGAGAGTAGAACATCTGTAAGGTCAAAACTCAATATGAAAAGGGAAAATCATTGGCCCTCACTAGCATTGATAACATAATGCACGATTTACTGCCATGTGTACACATCAGATGCACATAAATGCATCACAAGGGCAAGCATCCACATGAAACGTAATGAAGTTAATATCATTGGCCCTCACTAGCATTGATAACATAATGCACGATTTACTGCCATGTGTATGCATCAGATGCACATGAATGCATCACAAGGACAAGCATCCACAATGAAACGTAATGAAGTTAAAGCTAAACGAGAATTTTAGGAGAGAGATGAGAGAATATGTCGAAAAACTGAAAAGAAGGAAATAGTTGCAAAATTCCAATCACTTGCGCAAGGTTCCAAAAGCACCATAAACTATCCAAGGAAAATATCGAGTCTAGTCTAACTTACAAATGCAGCGAATTCATAGTCTTTGCTCCCCTTTGAAGTGTTATCTCGTATGTACGGTCACAAAGGTCTTGCAAAAATAATTCTAATGCTTTAGCTGTAACAACATCAAGGATGACCGTAAGCACCAGAGCAATCTGACAAAGACAGCAGAGTGAATAGCATGTATGCTTCTGTACTTACAGACTAGAACTGGAACTGCTAATGCAATTTTTCCTACATCTTCATCTGCTTGCATTATCTTCTTGATCCTTGCCTGCAACATCATAATAAAAAAACTCAAACAAACCACAACGAGGATATATTGACCGAAAAAAGGCATAATTCATCATTTTCATATTATCTTCCTGCGCATGAAGACCACCAGTTATCAAGGTTAAAAAAACTCTCTTCAAATACTCAAAAATGGTCAGAAAACTGATCCCTAAATCAAGTTCACCGAACCAAATTTAAAATAAATTAAAACATGTCACTTAAACATCTGAACTAAAATTTTCCCTCCTGCACTTGACCTGATCACCTGATCGCACTCTCCTATAACACAAGAACACATATTATGTTGAAGAGCTCCAGAGTTTTCAATGCTCGTGCCAAGCTTGTATAGATAAAAGTTAAGTATTACAACAACATTAAAGCATTTCGGCCTCAGAACTCCGATTGAAGCCCCAAGTTCCCCAGGAAGAAGTAAGAGCTCAAAAAGATTATTTTACTGAGAAAAACTCCTTTTCTCCTTCATTTCCTTTTGCTTTTCATATTCCACGTACATAGACAACTAGAATCACAGCTGTTCCATCTGCACTGATGTACCATACTCTAACATTAGACACGAGAAGAACCAAATCACATGAAATGTTAATGGCCAATTAATTGGACCTTAAGTAAAGTAGGAACTGGCAATCCTAAGGCTCCAAATTGGAAAAAGAAAGAAGGAACAAGGACCATGTTAAGCAATTTAAAGAAGAAGACAAACATATCACCAATTATGAGCACCTCCAGCCACTAATGCGCTAGTTAGGAAACTAAATGAATCAAATAACTCGCATGCTGGTCATGCTCAGCTAGGAGTAGGACTACTCAAGCCCAGTCATCTATATCAAAGCCAACGCTCCAATGCTTACCATGATTTTTCTTAACCATGAGCCTCATAATCTTGCAAATCAATCTCGCAGATAGTATTCTTTAATCGTGACCACTGCAGCTTCACATCCTCCTTCTGGATTATCTTAAAAGCCATAATCTTGCAAAATTATTGATCTCAGAGACTAATGACCAACTATTGCTGCCCAAAAATGGCTCATCTCCTCCTCTCGCATTTTCCTTCCAGTTTTATGATTTCTCCTCAGTTCTTTCTCGAGTTCTAGGGCAGAATGTTAGCAAGGCTAGCTGCCAGTGGTTAAAAAGCAACTGAAGGAGGATGGGAAAGCTTAACTCCATGCAAAATGATCAAGTGGCCCAGTTAACTACATCATGTTGGCGCTCAAGAATTTGAATTTTAAGCTCTAATTTCGGCGATTTAAGTACATGCAGTGTCCCAATAATAGGAACTCTTAATTTCAGCATTCGCGCTATAAAGGGACAAGTTTGTCGATCGGTGGTGAGTACCCCAAAATTAGCTGAGGATCAAAACTGCTAGGGTAAAACCTTCAAATAAAGAAAAGCGGAGATCTGCCAAAAACAGCAACAGGGTTTTTACCACTCTAACCAGGCATCCAGGAAAAGACACATGACCCTATCCCTGAAATTGCCCTAAAAAGAACATTCACGACAAATAGACATCTCATGACAATAGCCCCGCGAGTTAGACGAAGAACAAATCACGAAAGTCAACAGCGGATGGTTCTCGGATCATCGATCTAGGAAACAGCAGACCTCCGGCAACTAATTTGACCTAGCTCCCACATACTCACGAAAAAGACCCCAAAGAAACACAAAAGCATCACCCGAGACTCGATCCCCTGTCGGATTTTCGGACAGATCACGCCTTCCTACGAATTTCCGCTCGAAAAACCCCCTAATTCGCTCGCGGAAACCAGATCAAACGGGAGAGAGAGATCGTCGGAAAAGAGAACTTACGGCCGGAAATCGCGTGTCGAGCTTCTTCCTCATGGCGTCAGGACCGCAGCATCAAACGAAACCTCCCCCCTTCCTTTTCCGCCCTCCCCCTTTTTTCGTATCTTCCTCAAATTTAGAGAGAGAGAGAGAGAGCAGATCGAGCTCTCGAACGCAGAACGTCACGAGAATCGCGAGACCGCCATGGCTCCCGCAGAATCGACGGGCGCGAACCGCAGATCCGGAAGCGAGACGCACGAGAAGAACTTCCTCGAAATCGGAAACGAAGATCGAAGCGGAGCAGAGACGTGCTTCGACGGGATATCCGTCCGTACGAAATGGACAAAAACGACTTTTTAAAATAAGTTAATCGATCGTCGGAGGAAAAAAAAATTTGGAAATTAAAAAGAGGAAATGAAAAAACGCGTGTTGGTGATTTCCCTGACGTGCCGTGATATAGCGAGCGCCCAGGACGGTGAAGGGCCTACGGCGAGCGGCGACGGACACGCGGGGCGAGGAGCTGGCGAGTGAACGTCCACGTGGCGTGCTCTGATTGGGCTGTCTTCTTTGTATTCTATAGGAAGAAAAATGGCACAAACAGCTCCTAAATTTTAGTATAATGTGTAATTTGATCACGAAACTTTTAATTTATTCAATACATGGACTAAATTAAATATGTACTAAAAGTCCAGGGACCGTATTAAACAGATTAAAAGTTCAGGGACTCAATTGAATATTATGCTAAAGTTCAGGGACTACATTGAACAAATTAAAAGTTCGGGAACCAAATTGCACATTAAACCAAAATTCAGGTACTGTTTGTGTCATTTTCTCTCTCCAGGACCATGTATTCCTTGTGAAAGTGGATTATGCTCCTCCCGCTTCTATTTGTTTCCTAAATCATTAATGATTTGCGAGATGTTTTCTTAAAAATGGCTACATTTTCATTGTTTAGGAAATTTTTTAGATATAACTGTTATCGATAAAGAAATTATGTTTCATTGACGAATTATTTTAAGTGATACGAGTTATTACTTTTAAGAAAATATTTTTCAGATTATTCATTTTTTCCGAAACATAATGAGCCTTCGTTGTCAAATACTAATTATTTGTGCAAACTGCTATGGTCTAGTTCAATATTAGTATAGATATATAAATTATTCATGTAATAAAAAAGAAAAGTGTAAATAAAAGATAAGAGCTTATTTTGCCAGAACAAAAGATAAGATTAAACAAGTTAATAGACAATTAAAAAAAATTAAGAATTACATAGAGAAGCCGAAAGATTCGAACCTATGAAGAAACGACAAGTGGCTTGCTCTTGGGAAAGCTTGATTGGCAAATCTTGATTTAGTATCTTTAGAGATATAATTGTTTATTTTTTCCTTTTAAAAGTCTTATACATACATCTTTGTCCATCAAAAATTTATTTTTTAATTAATTACAATAAGTTGAAATAGGAAAACAATTATTTAAAAAATACAAAACCTCATCTCGCTTTTCTATGGCATCTGTCTGAACTTAACTTTACATTACTTTTTTGTTAATCCATCTTTTATGCAATAGTCATAAATATTTTACGATTTGCCAATATAGTTCTTTCGATCAATTTCAGTCGAAAATTGCTAATGTGCATGGCAGCCATCTTATGTAGCATAATCGGTGCCAACATGGACGGTTTTTCTAATTTTTTTCGAATTTTTTATTTTTCTTTTCCTTTTTTTTTTCATTATGGCAACAGGAGGGTTACCGAAGCTCTCCGGCTTCGACAAAAATTGTAGCCCTTACCCTCGTCAACTACAGTGAAAAAGAAAAGAAAAGAATAAATAATTCGAAAAAAATTTTAAAATAAAAAATTGGAAAAAATCGTCTATGTCAGCACCGATCGTATTATGTAGGACGATTGGTATCCATGTTTGCAATTTCAGGCAAAAATTGGCTGGAATGACTATATTAATAAATCGTTAAAATGTTTAAATATAAATTGGCCACTTTGATAGGTTCGTATGATAACTTTAGAACTTTTTTTTGGCAATTTCCCGATTTGAAGATGTGTACGTCATGACTATGCTTGATCGATCTCTTGCTAGATATAACACGCGATGAATGATTGTAGTTGTTACTCTACGTGCAGTTAATGACACATGTCGATCGATAATTCACCATAGTCAGAGTTTAAACCGAGATCAAAATTCCAACGTGGAATTCTAATCTTTTGCTTACATTAATACAATTTTCGGGTAGTTCGAGAAAATTGTTAAGGGATTTTTCTAAGCGAATTTAAATAAAGATCTCATTACGAATGGCCAAGCATGCTTAACGAGGAAATATTCAATTTTTAATATATCGATTCTGCATAAATATATTTTCTTATTTAGTATTTTATTATCGGAGAATTTTTTTCGCAACACAATTTCTTTAAAAAGATAATGGCACAAACAGTCCCTGAACTTTAGCCTAATCCGCAATGTTTTTCCTGAATTTTTAATTTATTCAATGTAATCCCTGAACTTTAGCGTAACGTTCAGTGAGATTCCTGAACTTTTAATTTGTTCAATGTGATATTTGGACTTTTGGTATGTGTTTATATCAAATATTTTCATATAGTTCAGGGACTAAATGATGATATCGAACAAATTAAAAGTTTAGGGACCACATTAAATACTGGAGTAATAAATTAAAAATTCACGGGCCATATTACATATTGCGCTAAAATTCAGTACTGTTTGTGCAACTCTCCCTTCTTTAAATAAGCAGGCGTATCGGAATACTGTGGAGCACGTGAAGAAAGCAAATCTTTAGGAGTCGAAAAGATGACGATCGCGCAACGCGAATTCACGGAGAAGGCCTCGTTAAGCTGCTTCCATGTCCTCTGACTCCTTCTTCTCCAAGCAATCCGTCCATAATTGAAGGGACTCTCCCGAGCCTCTTGCCTTCTTCTTCTTCGCCCTCGCAATGCTCTCTCCCGCGCGGGCGATCGCCTGACGTGCGCGCGTGTGCGTGCGTGTCTCCGAAGAGCGCCTGGCGTTGTCGTTGAATTCGCTCGGCTGATCGTCGCTGATCGTCGGGGGAGCGCCGGTGGATTGGCGAGAACGAAGGATCGGGTGATCGATGGAAGGCAATAACAATCCGGCGGCCATGGCGCAGGGCGGCGCCCCCGCCGTCGAGGGCGGCGACTGGAGGCAGAGCCTGACGCCGGAATCCCGCAAACGGGTCGTCAGCAGCATGTGAGTTCTCTCTTTATCCCGTCTTTTTTTTTTTTTTTTTTGGGGTGGTGGCGGTGGGTGGGTGGTGGAATCCCGACGTCTGTTTTCTTCACCAAAGAATGTCTAAAGCAAAAGGCGCATCGAGATTAAACTAAACAAGCAGCGGCATGGTAAAAGAATTGCCTTTATGGGTGAATTTTTTCGGAAGATCATGTACCGAGGTACATTCGCCGTGTTTTCGGTGTTCTGGCTCTGTTGTCTCTGGGAAAAAGAATTGCTTTTTGTGATTTCTCGTGTGCCATCGTCGAGGCCCGCTAGATTTTTCTTCATGTCGATTGCTATGTGTTCGCTATTCAAGTCCGCGGCTTCAATCTCTGACGAATATGTATGGTTTTCACGTGAAGCGTGGAGAACCTGATGAAGTTTGTTCCTTGTCGCGGGCAAGAGGGTCTTCCCGAACTGCAGAGCATGGCAATGCAGCTGGAGGAAAGGCTTTATGCGGTCGCCTCGAGTCAGGTACGATGAACAGTCTTTTTCTTTTGCCAGGTTGACAGTCTTGCTGGTTCCATAGGATTGCATGATATAGATGCAATATCAATACAAGAACATACTCTCTTTGGCGGACACATGTTTATTTCATATACATCCGCTCTTTGGATTAAAGTAAGTCATGCTTTTGAGTAATTATGCATCAGTGGTATTGGGAGCAAATAAGGAAATTTTCTTGCAAAGTTATAGCATGGTTTAAGCCTTTGGCTATCGGTCACGTTGAGCATCTCCTTCATTTTCCTTTCAGCAAGATTATATAAGGAGGATATCTCTAAAGATGCTGCAAATCGAGAGATGTCAGCAAAATAAAGGAGCCAATTCATTGCTGGCCAACACCAGTGGGACAAGCAATAAGCCTTCAGATCCAGGTACGCATTTAAGGTTGTCGACAATCATGTGATGCAAAAAGTTTGTGTGACCCAGTACAGTAGAATTGTTGAGAACATACATATGGGCTGAGTACTACTCTCAGTAGACCTCTTTCACTGCATGCTCTGTCTCTGTGTTGGTTCTGCCTTGAGGTGGACGAGGGAGCTGAATACACAATGCAGATGTATTTGACATCTAAATAATGAGCCAAGACAGTCTGGTCTAATAATTCTTTTGCCAGCATGTGATGAAATCAAGATGCATGATTTTTACCTACCCAGTGTTTTTCTCCGTTTTGTTTTTTTTTTAAAACAGTGCGCAAGATTTTGTACCAGACGATTTCATGGTTTTTGTCAGTTCATCAATTTCATGTCCTTCGTAGGTACCTGGATCCAAATTCAAAATCAAAGTCAATCAAATCCCAATCAAGCGGCAGTTAGTCAGTCTCAAGCACAACATGCGGTTTTATCAACAAATACAACTGCCAGAACACAATGTCCTCCCAATTTATCATCCATGCCCCCTCCTTGCAACTTGAACTGGAATTCCACGCCAAGTGCGGGTGGACTGAACTCCAACATGCAGCACATTCCGGTGTTCTCAGACAAGCCACAGATGGGTATGAAGGGAAGAGATGTCTCCTCAAGCATGTTTTGTAATCCTCAGAGGCAGATTCATGGACCTGAACAGCAGCTGAAGCAGCAGCAATCTCAAAATCCACAGCAGCATCTCTACAACCAGCAGTTGCAGTGTCAGGCCATGAACCAAAACTTTCACAATTTGTCGCCGGCCACTCGATCTCAACCTCCTCAGCAATCTGTTCTGCAGACATGCCCTGTCACACAGCAAATTGTCATGCAGTCATCTCCTCTATCTAGCCTTCATCAAAGTCAACTGTCCTATGCTCAGCAACCAAAACAATCCATGCTTCAGCAACATCAAGAATCGGTTGTCAGGCTCCAACATCAAACACAACATACAGGTGCCTACCCAGTGCCCCCACAACAGCAGAATATAGGACAACAGACCAGTGTGTTGAATATGCCACAAGATCAATTCATCAACCAGCATAGCAGCCTGATGAATATGCAGCAGCAACTGCAGAACGACATTCCAAACCAGGTGAGGCAGCAACATGCTTTAGTAACGCAAAAAAACATTCTCTCATTTGAAAATAAGCTGAAGCTGGATGCTCAAGTTGATGTCTCTGGATTGCAGCAGCAGCAAGTGCAGCAACCATTTGTGCGGACTCAATATGGGTGCTCAAGCAAACAGGGGGCTATGCAAGAGCCTCCTAATTCTTTAAGATCTGGTTCCTACCATTCTGGAATGCAGAGAAGCTTACAAACGCCAAGATCATCAATGCAGCACCAGAATATGACAAATCAACAAAAGCAGTCATTCCAATCACAAATGCCCCTTCCAGGGACATCGAGTATGTTATTTACCACTGTGTGAATCATCCTAGCCTTGTTTATAGTGCACCTGTTGTAAAAGAATGTCTACATCCTCTAGTTTGGATTGTAGATATGAAAAGTTTTGCTTCCAATTTTGCAGAATCTCTTGATTCCATCTCTCAAACAGATATCGCTTGTGCGGGCGATTGGCAAGAGGAAGTTTTTCGAAAGGTAGTTCAATGTCATTTAATCTGTTGAGCATAATTTGACCAAATCGGATGGCTGCAGTCATGCCCTTGGGTCTTGACCATGTTGCTAAATTATGGAATGTAGGAGGAGTTTTCTAGTAGGATAAACAGTGGTGGTGCGCTATGGTCAAATTGTGAGGAAATGAGGAGATGCATGGGTTTGTGAGATGTCACCCTGAAAACCAGGAGGACCGAAAGACTGATGGTTTTTCTGATTATTCAGTGATGTCATAGGATCTGACGAGGTGACACGTAGAGAGCTATAGAGAGAGATTGTTGTTTCCTGCAATTTATCTCGTTTTAATTCCATTGGACACCATAGCGATGTAACTTGTGTGTGCACCACTTATGAAATCTGAATGGCGAACTTTCAGTATTTTGGCTTCTTAGGATGGTCAGACTTAAATGAGAAGAAAGCACTATTCTGATTTCTGAGCGTGTCTCAGAAACTGCCTTAATTATATTGATTAGCTTCTTCTGGATTGCAGATTAATGACATGAAGAGGCTATATTTATCTGAATTAGAGGAAATACACAGCAGAGTTTCTATGATACTGCAGCAGGTGGGTGTGCTCAGTACTTAATTATAGGAACGAACTACTTGTCATATTTAGAGTACTCATTTTAAGAAAACATGCAAATACAAAGTTAAGCCCGTGTAGTTCTTCTCTTTACCAGTTGTATTTATGTCTTCCCAGAATGGTTCTATTCCCCAGTCACCCAACTCCTCGGGGCAATATCAAAAACTGCAAGTAATTAAGAAAATGACGGGTCAACTCATTTCTTTTCTGCGAGTTCCCAAAAGCAAAATCTCACCCAATATCAAGGATAACTTGAATTCATGCGGGAAGAACATTGTGAGTTTGATCAATATAAGTAGAAGCGGGAGGCTAATTCCGCGGCAGCAACCACAAGTCCCCCCACCTCATACGCAGTCTATGCCGCCTGAGCAATCCCCAGCTCAGTTTCCTCCTGTCCTGTTACCCGGAATAGATATGTCAGAAACCACTGTTAATTTTCAGTGCAAGCCAAACATGCTTCAGTTTAATCATCTGAATCAACATCAGGAACGACAGATGCTGCAAAATCAGCAACTTAATCAACAACTACAAGAATGTCTGGTGCAGCCGCAGCTGATGCAGAAACAACAGATTTCACAGCAACTACCTGCATGCTTGCAGACTTATCAGATGTCACAGCCTCATCAAATGGGCGATTCAAATGACCTTAAGATGAGACTAGGAACAGGTGTCAGACCAGGATCTTTCTCCCAGCAACATCGTTTATCTGGATACCGGTCTGCTCATTTAGATCAACAGTTCAAATCAGGAAATTCATTGCCTAAATCTTCACAGCAGCTTCTCCCGGCAGCTTCCATTCAAATCTCAGAACACCCTTCTCCAGAGATTGATAAGCATAAGCTGTTGACGGCTTCCACAAAAACTGGAACTTTTTTACAATCTGCAAACTCACCTTTTATGGTTCCATCCCCTGCTACTCCGTTGGGCTTGTCGCCAATGCCAGTGGATACCGAGAAATCTATTTCAGGTCTCTCATCACTATCCAATGGTGGAAATATTGGACAACTGCAAACAGACGATGCACCGGCATCAACGCCACCAGTTTCTACTGGGACTCCAGGAATTTCAATCTCACCGCTGCTTGCTGAATTAAGTAGTCCAGATAGGGCTCCGTGGAAATCGGCAAAAACTTCTTCTGGAAAATCAAGTGTTACTGAGCAGCCTGTTGAGCGTTTAATTAAAGCGGTTGGTCTAGCTGATTTCTTTCAAATGCTGTTACTATGTACTACACTATATCACGATGAAGATTTCCCCTTTGAATAAATCGTACATGTAAGTTGGTTCTGCTGTCTTTGTTTCAGGTGAAATCAGTTTCACATCAAGCTTTAGAATCTGCTGTAAGTGACATTATATCGGTGGTCAGAGGAAATGATTGTCTAGCTGGGACTGCGCAAGGTAGTGGTTCAAGAACTGCGGTTGGTGAAGATTTGGCTGCAACATTGAAGTGCCATTTGCCGTCTCAGAACTCCAATTTGCAAGATGAAATAAGTGGGACAAGGAAATTGAAACGCCATGTCTGTGCGATGCCTCTGAACCTGGCGCCATCTCTAGGAAGTATGAACGATAGTTTTGCGCAAAGGACTGGTTCAGAAATTTCTGATATAGAGTCAACAGCATCATCTAGTGTCAAAAGGCCGAAATACGAGGTTCTGATCTTTCTTTGACATATGAGCCAAAACTTTTTGGTGCATCGTAGTCATTTTTCTATGCTAAGCATAGTTTTGGTGTGTACCATAACCTGTTGGTATTTGCTTTTGCTGTTTACTGGCTCTCTTTCTCCGCATGAACTTATATTTCTTGAGTGCACTTGGTAGATAATAATTTTTCAGTTGTCCAGGATACTATTTTCTCAAAATGCTGATCAACGGTTCTTATATCAAGGCAGTCAGGCAGTGCTGCCAGGACCAATTTATGTCTCTTCAATATGAAAGATTAGATCCATTAGAAATTGTGACTGATACTTTAAATGTTGGGTTTCTAAGTCGAACATCTTACTGCATTTCTCAGGGTGTTTAGCCTACCCCTTCTTTTGTTTCTCTCTGTTTGTTGCTGTCTCCGTGTGACAGGTCCAGGTTCGATAATCTCGACAGTACTGATGTTTGAAAGGGCCCTTATGTACTGGGTTAGCGACCTTCATATGTCTTTCCTTCTCAAACTTTTCTTGCCTGCTCCCTTTCAATGCCTCTCAGAGTGCCCTTCCTTTTCTTGTATTTGGTTCGCTTGAATGAATAATTGTGATGGACAGAGAAAGTTTTTTATTTTTTATTTTTTTGGATAAAAAGCAAACATAGCAACTGTTAAAGTACACAGGTGCAATCATCTCCCAGACAACCGTACTTCTAAACACAACAGCCACAAGGACCTTTTCCAGTAAATGGGATTAGCAAGTGGAATTTTTAGTGACTATTTTTCCATAATCTAGAAAGAGTTGCTATGTTCTTATTGAGCCAGTTTGCTTTTGAGTATTACGTGATGCTAGTCTATTGAGCAGAATGAGACACAATTTTGCAGGCTAATTATGACCTCTGGGCAGAAATAAAGCAGATTAACCAGCAACTTATACTCACAGTGGTTGATATCAGTGATGAAGAAGTCGATTCTCATGCAGCTTCTGCTTTCACTAAAGTAGGTGAAGGAACTATCGTCAAGTGCTCTTTCACCGGTGTGGGTATCAGTCCAAATCTAAGATCAGAGACCGCCTCCTTGAATATGGTATGATGTTTGTATGAGATTTGTCGAAGATACCTGGTTTACTGAAGTCGTTATCTAATTTCTCTTTCTGATTGTTGTGCAGTCACTGATTCAGCCTTTGTGGTTGCTTCTGCCTATGAACTATCCAAACTGCTCTCCCATACTTTTGGACAAGCTTCCAGTTGATGTCGGGTGAGAATTTATCTAGCATTCTCACTTGCATTTGTAACCCTAACGTCCAATTGTGGACTAAAAAAGGAAAACCTTAAGGCCCATGTGCTGATATCCCTTTCTTGTCTATGCTCTTGATTTTTTCTCATTTGACTGTCGAGTGATTGTCTGTGGAAAATCTCTGCCTTCTTTGTGTTTAAGATATATCAAATTTAAGTGGCATCTTTTCCACATCCCACCTTTGGTTCTTCCTTTCTTCCCTGTCAACGTAATATGGTGACATCAACCCAAGAGCCTGGAAGAACCATGCGGGATGTGGAAGAATTTGACACGATGTGGATATACCAGTACCGTATGGTTCTTAACAAATTTTGCAAATTTGTAGCGTCAATAGGTGTAGTTAATAATCTCATTATTTGAATTTTCAAGAATCGTGAGTTCAAGTCGGATATTATATATCTTGTTGCTGGTTGTTGGTCTCGTCAGTACTTACTGTAACCTCTACTTAACGTCTGACTTTGTTCTTGCAATTTATCCTTTTGCAGTAAAGAGGCTGAAGATCTTTCAGCTAAGGCAAAATCAAGGCTCGGCTGTGCTCTCAGAAGGCTTCCACAACCCATGTCGCTCAGAGGGATAGCGTTGAGTTGGGAAGAGAGTGTCCGAGCCGTCATTTTGGATTTTGCGCTGCAGAGCGGTGGGGGCAGCTTCAGCTCCAAATATGGAGCTTGGGAACAATGCCGGTGATTTTGAGCCTAGTGCTATTTAACAGCGCTGTTATTTCTAATCAATACAACAAAACACGGTTTTTCTTCAATCAACACCATCGAGTTACACAACTCAGCTTGAGATTTTGATCGTCCACCGAGCATTTTGAATGTTTACCATATTCTTTTTAAGAGCATGAATGCTGATATCTATCATCAATAATTTCTCTGTAGTTTCTGTACTTCTGCTCTGGATTTTGCTTTTTTGAATTGCATATTCTGGGGATTTGCTTGGTGCGACTGTTCAAGGTGTTGGTTTTGGATGTGGAACTTGAAGTGGAAGCTGGTCTTAGTTGAGATTAGTTGACTATGTAAGAAAGCAGTGATTATGTCGTTGTGTTAATCCTGTTTCTTTAGTCCATGGATTCCTTGGGAAATGTTAATGATGTCATTAACTCGCTCAACTAATCTCGCAACCTACTTAGTATATACCTTAGAACCTAGAACCTATCCCGTCACAGGTTCCAGGATTGATTTCAAGGTATACTCAGGTTCCACCTATATTCATAATTGAGCGATTGCGGTGAATCATCATCTCTAATGACCATCGTTTGCTGCAACTTTATTTAGACACATGAAGAATATAATTAATTGATAAAGTAAAAGATTCGATCATTAATATAGTCGGAAATAGAAGCTTAGAATAGTGATTTCAGATTACACACTCATCGTCTGACACCATCGAATACTGCAAGATTGCGCGAAGACATATAACAAGACAAACACAAAGACTTTGTTCCAGGTTTCAAGTTTCAGGTTCCAATCGAAATCGATTCCTCAATTTTTGAAACCTGAAACCTACTATGTATACCTTGAGATAGGACCGATTCCTACTGGTCTGATTTCCAGTTCTATTTTGGAACCATGTTCATCCATACTTAAACTATATGAATATATCTAATATTATCATTCCATTAATTTAAAGTACATGGACAACATTGAACAATTTCACGTAGTCCAGTGATTAATTTAAATGTGTACCAAAAGTTCCGGAACCACATCGAATAAATTAAAAGTGTATAGACAATATTGCATATCGGGCTAACTTCATAGATCACATTGTATAGTAGGATAAAGTTGAAGGACCACTTATTCTATTTTCCCAAAAAAATGTAAGAGACGGTGGAATACGTATACAAGGGCGTGTAAATTTTGAAGGAGAAAAAATCTGGCTCTTTGGATATGGCCGTTTTGAGCGCGAGCTACCGCTCGTGGCGAAGACCGCCTTCAATCTCGCCGCCGCAGCCGCTGCGACGGCCGCCGACGCCTCCCCCTCCTTCCCGACGACGCAGGCTTTGTGCCTGCACCGCTCCATCGTCTCCATCTCCTGTTCAGCAAACCATTTCGCATATCGAGAGCTCTGGCATCATCGCTTGCCTTCGCGCCAATAGGTCTCTCTCTCTCTCTCTCTCTCGATCGACGTGATTTTGCTCAACGTGTTTGAATCTTATTCGGAACCGGTGTTAATGATAGTCCGGAGCTGGCGTTTGAAGCTGCCTGCGCTGCGCTTGGAGCTGGCATTACGGTTGTGAGTTCTCTGCCCGTGACCTTCCCTGAGCTTGAACGAAGGAGTTGTTAGGAGTCTCATATATGCTCGTCGCTTTACCTTTGAGCCTTTCGTTAGGAATTTTCGTGCGGAGTTCTTTTTTTTCTTTTGTTGCTGATAGACAGAGGTTTCCTGCTATGAACGTGAACCGAATCCTCTAAATTGCATCATGATTTGAGGGAATCGCGCGGTGCGGTCGGCATCACTAGGCATTGCCACATTTTATAGACTCTTATATATGGATGCGTGGGTAGAGTTAGAGAGAGAGAGAGAGAGAGAGAGAGAGAGAGAGAGAGAGAGAGAGAGAGAGAGAGAGAGAGTGGTCCACACCTCGTGTATGGACGGAATGATTTCTCTTAATTGGAGTTATCCTGACAAGATTAGTGTTAGTTGAGAGGATCGGGCGTGTTTTCTCTTGCTCCATTTGCTAGTTTTTGCATAATATTGGCAAAGAATTGCTCATTGGAGACTGGAGAGTTGAGTTTTCGTATAGGCTTGATGCTGTGTTTGAGAGGGGTTGAGTGGGGTTGAAATCCTCCCAAATTTGAAATTTTGAGCTATGAAAATTAACAACTCATAAAAAAATGATGTGCTCATTGGAGAATAGGGTAGACATTGTGTGCTTGTAGTCATAGCACATGACTCGTGCTTGTGGGTTTTGATGTGCTTTCGTTGTATTTTGCAGCTGGAAATAGTCAGGTCCACCCCAGGTGTGTTTGAGGTTGTCTGCTTTCTCATTTTTCTGCGTGATTTCATTTTTCCTGGAAGACTTACTGGAGAGTTAAAACTCTATTTTGGATGGTGCACAGGTCTTGCGTCAGCTGATCGAAGATCACCCTACAGCAACCCTCGGAGTAACTCGCCTACCTTTTCTAGACTTTGCCTGCATTTGCTTCTGTTCTTTGTGAACATTCAAGCATCACATGTGAAAAGTTGGTTTGGGCATGCAGGCATAGCTATCGATTAAGAGTACCTGACATAGCTTTTAGAGTCATTGGGCTGCTCTAACTCTTTGTTTTTTCTATTTTGTTAACAATTCTCTAGTTGACAATTACTGTAGCAATGGAATTTGTAGTTGATTGGTTAACATGTGGGTTTTCTTGACAACTCTCCTGATTTATGAGTGTTGCTTACACACGGATGCAAAAATCAATGCTTCAGATACTTTCTTGGGTGTTCTAAATCAGATAATTATGGTCAGGTTGGGACCATTTTGAATGCTGAGGATGCTCAAAATGCTATAGTTGCTGGAGCCAAGTTCCTGATGAGTCCTGCAATGGTTAAGGTATCCACTAGGGTACTGGAGGCATATTTTAATATTTTAGACAGTGTGATGGTATACAAGGTGTTGAAGCCTATTTCAAGTTTCTGCTCCCTGAAAGAAAATTTCTACAGTACATCTGCCTTCCAGCATTGGTCCTATGTTTACTCGTATCCTTTTTCTGGTTGCAAGGACATTTTGTCTGACTCACAAGATTGTGGAGTCCTATACATTCCTGGAGTGATGACCCCCACAGAAGTAGGTGCATTTTTTTTTTTCAAGTGGAGCATTCTTTTTAATGTCATTGGCGAATGATTTGGCATAAAGCTTGTTTCTGCAACCATCAGTGCCTAATTTCTCTTGTCTGAGTATTATAGCATTGCTTTTGATGAAAGTTCACAACTTTTTATCAACATTGAGTGTCTTTAGTTACGCTATACATCTTTTGCAGATATTGTCTGCATATGATGCTGGTGCCAAGATTGTGAAGGTAGGCATGCAGTCCTCCATAAAGATGACTATTGTCGCACCAATCTGTGTGTATCATTCTTTGAAACCATTTTCATTACTTCTTAAGTAATTTTGTATTTCCTTCAACTGAGTATCTCTTTGTGCCCTTGATAGAGTTTGGCAGAAATCCGTTGTACATTACACTTAGTCACAAAACTCTCCGATCATCATGTAATTGGAGAGCCTCTTCTGCATGCATCTCAGGATATCTGTTCTTCACTAATCTGTGTCATTCCTGCTGATAGGGAAAAGCTGAAATTATGGGGTTTTAATCTGTCTTTATTTAAATCTCTTTGTTAGAGAGCCATGTTTTTCTTCAGCATTTCTTTTCATTATTATTTTCAGAGCATATATCTTGCTTTGTGTAAATCCTGAACATGTTTCCGGATTCAACCTTTGATTCCTATTTTCTCTTGAACTATGTTTTTCTATAGGTCTACCCTGTTTCAACATTAGGTGGAACTCACTACATATCAGCACTTAAGAAGCCTTTTCCTCACATTCGCATGGTTGCTTCTCAAGGCATTCCATTAGGTTTGTTTCTTGAACTAAGTCCTTTGGTTATTAACTGTTAATGGTTTGCATAAGATGCGTGAAGATCATATGTCATTATTAGGCAGGCCATTGATGACTGTTAGTCCTGTGTAGTTAACTTTTGTCTTTCCATGCATGAGATATTTTTAAATAGCTGCAGCATTTCTTGAATGATTCTCATTTTATTCCTAACCATCGTTGTGAGAAACAGATGCCAACCGTTTACATCTAAAATCTATGGGATCTCTCTCTCTCTCTCTCTCTCTCTCTCTCTCTCTCTCTCTCTCTCTCTCTCTCTCTCTCATGAACCTTTTGCATAACCTTATGTGGATCAGCAGAGTTACTGTGGTAACATTCAGTCCGATACAGGCCAAAGGAATAAAAAATTTCATAGCTACATTCTCAGCTTCTAGCGAGAGTTTTTTATTCAATCTCTGAAGTAGCGTCCAGTAGTCCACCTTTCACTGATGGAATAATTAATTCCTTGGTTCAGGTTTAGCTGGAGAATACATTGCTAAAGGAGCATCCGCAGTTGTTCTCTCAGATGCCATATTCACTAAAGGAGCAATGGCTCAATGCAATCTCAGTGAAGTATCTAGATTTGCTCACATTGCAGCCTTGCAGGGCAGGGAAGCTGTCGATCGGTGAGTTGCTTACGTTGAGAAGTTTAGTGGTTCAATCTGGAAGATTAACTACAAAGTGGTTGGAGACTCTGCTTTGAACAGCATGATGACACCTTTCATTATGCTAGGGTTGGTGCGGTGTACCAATGTAATTGTTGGATCTGCACATTCGAAGCGTTTTTTATGGACTTTGTTAGGATTTTGTTCCATCAAATAACACAAATTCCTTTAGTATTAACCGACTGATTTTCACTTACATGCACATAAAAACCATGATCATTGGGCTTGTGAGTTATGAACGAATCCTGGACATATTTGTTTTTCTCTCTCTTTTTTCATCTGTAGTCTTCTAACTGATTGGATTTCTTACAGGCGGAAAACATGCTTGGAATAGGAAGTTGTTGAAGGGCTATTTGCCTTTGCATCACCTCCAGAGGTACGGAGGACTTGAGGAATGTTCATATACCTGATGGCCGCTGAAATTTCAGGTACAGCTGCCTTGTTGTTTTTCACTAAAGATGAACCTTGGACTTATTGTTTGCTCTTTTGTTATTGATCGTGTGCTTTTTTTAGAATTCTAAAAATCTACTGATCTCCATGACATTGTTTTGCTGGAAATTGACACTTTTCTTGTTTCCCTGAAAACGCTGCATTCTGACCTTTGACCTTCTGGTGTTTATCTTGGAAGTAGTTTTTCCATTTACTTATGTAGGGTGTAAAGGTTTGTGTCCATGCAAGTGGATTGTTTCCTTTCTATTGGGACTGAAATGCTCAGTAACCTTCTTAAATGTGCAGGTGCACCCTGCCTTGGTGGTGTGCATTTTCTTGCTGGATCGTGAGGTCATTTGGCAATGCCTGCAATTCAATTTTTGTGCAGTCGCTTGTTTCCCGTACAATCGATCGATGGTTGTCCTATGGATGACTCGAGCGGCATTTGAATGCTTTCCCAAATTCCGTTTGTGGAACTCAATGCTTGAGTGATCGTTCTTGCTGGAGCTCTGGGTTTGTCTCATGAAGACAACGTCGTCGTCGTCGTCTCCCCAATGTGGAGGTGTACACGTTCAGCCTGTAGTCTATACTGGAGCAATAGAATTGGGCGCCAGATTGCCGATGATATTGACGACTGAATAGTTAGCACTCGTCGGAGAACCTGTAGTTAGTCATGAACAATCTTTACCCTTTCCAGATAATTCCTTGTGTATCAATTGCTCTATGTGGATATAAACGAGATACTATACGTCCGTCCCGATGACGTCTCCCTGTCAAACTTACGGTACCACTTCCTTCGGGTCCCGGTCGACACAAAACATGGGCCGGAACGGGCCCTGCACAACAGCGCTCGTAAAGTGGGCCCAATGACGAGCCCAAGGCCCGGCCCATGTTCATAAAAAAAACACAATTAAACTAAATAAATAATAATCAGTCTGAAAAGTCGGTGAATCTCGGGTGCCGACACGACCTCCGTATCCGCTCAAATCCCCGTCAGTATCGGGGCAAACGAAACAACAACCTAAAACGAAAATCAGCTCAGCTCTCTCTCTCTAGGCCCAGATCCTAAATTTAGGCAAATTGCAAAACAAACCAACGAACCCAAAACGGGCGGATTCCCAAACCCCCACGATCAAATCCAACCTAATTACTACCTCACGTCCGCTAGGCCACGCCATAATCCCCCCTTTTTAACTAATTAATTAAATCCAACGGCCTTAATTAATCACACTTATTAAGAAAAAGGCTAAAAAAAATTTAAAAAAAAAAGAATTTAGGACGAAAATGGGGGAAAAGGGGGAAATTTGCGCGTCAAACGTAATTAGCTACCGGAAATCGGAAAAAAAAAAAGAAAAAGAAGAATGAAAAAAACCAACACCAGCGAGGAGAAAAGAACAATAAAATAACGCCCACAGCATAAGCGCAAGAAGCACAGCTTCCCCCACGAGCGAGCGAGCGAGCGAGACGACCGACGCCCTTGCACCCCCGACGCCCTTGCACCCCCGTCGCCCATCGATCCGTCCGTTTGTCAGGTCAGCGTCCGATCTCCCGATCGCATCTGTTTGATTCTCCGTCGCCCTCCTTCGATTTCGTCGGCGGATCGTAGTTGTCGGGCGCGATCGATCTGGGTTCCTCGTTTTTTTGGTTCTTCCCTGCTTTTTTTTTTTTTTGTTGTTGTTGTCGAATTTCAGTTCTGATGGAGGGACGAGGAGGACGAGTTCCGCCGAGATCGCATTGCGGGGGAACTGGGTTTTGTTTGATCTACGGTGTTTGGGGATGTCTCGATCGTTGTAGGGTCGATTGCCTCGATTTGATTCGGTTTGGGAGTTTGGCTCAACTTTCCGTGAATAGTTTTGCTGGGTTTGCTCGTTTGTGTCTGTTGATTTTGATTTTCTTGATGTTGTTTCTGGAGTTTTTCTGGTTTGATGGCCCGAATGGTTTGAAGGGTGTTGTGGAAAGCAGCTTGACGATCGAGTCGCTTGAGTTTTCTTCATTGTTTTGGATGAATTCATGTCATTGTCTTATCAAGCACGAACGGTTGCTGTGTTGTTTCGGAGATGTCTTGCCTATACAATATATGTCTGGTTGCATGGCGTGCATAGTTGAGGGCATCCCCATTTACAGGACGTTCTAGTGCCTAGTCATTGTTTTTGTGTTTGTTTCTTTTAGAAGTAGGATCGATGCGAAAGTCTTTCTCCTGCTTAACACCTTTTTTTTTGACAATCGTCTTCTGGCCTTTGTTGGTACACTTTCGTGGGCCTGCTCTTATTTCTTTCATGCTTTTCTTTTTTGAAGATTGTAGCATTAAATGAAGCTGCTGCTGTGTATTTTTGCAGGAGGAACGACGTGTTGTATATCGGCAAATATGTCTCCGGCAAAGTCCAAGTCCAAGTCCAAGAATAAGTCCTCTGCACGGGCTGGAAATGAACAAAAGGTTGCATCTAAGACTCCTGGGTCTTCGAATGGAGGAGGGAATGGCAGTTCTGCGAGCGCTTACAATCCAGTCTCTGGCACGTTCCATTTGCTGGAGACCTCGCCGCTTGATTCTTCACCACCTTCACAGAGTAATGGCCGATTTCAAACTATAGATGACACGGATGAGCACTCAAGTAGTCCGCATGGAACTGTTTCGGAGTTTGATTCAGTTTCCAACAATGGTAGCTGGTCTGGTGAGTCAGAAGACCTCAAAGATAAGGTAGGTTCCACTCCTCAACGGGAACTGGTACCTGGTCCTGACAATGATAAGCGAGAGAAGATTCGCTTGAAGAATGAAAAGAAACACCAGAGGCAGAGAGAGAGGAGAGCACAAGAATTGCATGATCGTTGCAGTGGCTACTTAATGTCAAGAAAATTGGAAGCACTTTCTCAGCAACTTGTGAGCATGGGGTTCTCTTCGGAGCGGGCAACCTTAGCTCTTATGATGAATGAAGGCAGGCTGGAGGATTCAATTTCCTGGCTATTTGATGGAAACGAAGAGGAAGCTCTTGACAAGGGTAATGACAGCGGAAGCAGAGGTAACTTGAAGATTGACATAAGTGAAGAGATTGCTCGGATTACAGAACTGGAGGTGAAATATAAGTGCTCTAAGCAGGAGGTGGAAAGAGCTGTGGTTGCTTGTGAAGGTGATCTGGTGAAGGCAGAAGAGTCTTTGAGGTCAGAGAAACAGGATTCACAAGTTACAGTAACAACGTCAGAAGCTATGCCTTCCCCGCAAACCCTTGTCAGACCGCGGGAGAAGCATATAGCTACCATGACGACGTTGCAGGGAAGGAATGAACGAGATTCGAACTATGCTAAGGCAGTTTCTATCACACCAACGGACGTAGAGCTTGGCACTTCCAAGTTGCAATCTTCAAAGATAAACCAGCAAGCATCACTAGTGGAGAAGAGATGGCCTCCTTCAGGATCAAGCTTTTTGCCTTCATCAAGTATCGCAATGCGGACACAGGTCGCACCTGCAGTGACGAAGTCTGATTTTCATCACGGTGTTGCTGAAGAGAAACTAATTCAAAATGCAGCATATAGGGAACCTGTAATAGTGATGCAGCGTCCCCAGTCCACGTTACCCAGGTCAACTGTCGTCTCGAGCGTAGGAACCTCGCCTTCAGTATCAATTGGTTACCATCCAAATGATGTTTCTCGTGCTGAGATCTTAAGGTCAAACATGAAGTTGCTCCATGCTCAGAGATTGGGAAGCCTTGGCCTAGAAAATCAGGGTTTGGAGCAATTCTACCATCAACCCGTATACAAGGAGAGTCCATCAATTCTTGGTCCATTGGATACGATGGCTGAGTTTGGTGGCTCATGGAATACAATGGGCAGATCTCCTCCTAACGCTGTTCCATCTAACCCTGTTACTTCCTGGAACAAAATTGGCACCCCTGCAGCTTCACACACAATTCCTTCATCGTCGCTTGGACTATTTTCTACTTGGAGGTCGGCAGGAACATTGGGCTCATCCTCTCAGGTGGATTGGAATGTCAGCGGTGCAATGCCGGAGTTCGATTATACCAGAATAGATTGGACCCTCGATGCCAATTTGGCGCATTCCAAGTCGAGTGGAGTGTGGCTACACCTCTCGTCAATGTTGAGGAACAATTCCACAATGATGCTTGGAGCTGCCAACAGGGTCTGTACTACAGACGCATCACCAGGTGGTGGTTCATGTGAGTGGACCTCTCCTTTTGCAGGAAAAGACATCTTTAGCTTGCCCAGGCAATTTGTAACTTCTCCATCTCCCTAGGTCTTGGTGTCTAGGAGATGGGAGAAGAAAAATAGAATAGCGGAACAAAAGCCCTGGTGGGGGGTTGGATGGATGTGTTGGTGTGTTTGTTTTCTGGTTTCCCTATTAAAGTTGCTGCTAGTGATATCTGGCCGTAGTATTTATATCCTCTTGCGTCCATTAACTTCCTAAATTGATGTTGGTGGTGGTGATTGGGGTCGGTGGCATGAAGTTGGGTAGGGCTGTTGATACATGTTGATCCATTTGACCAGCTATATGATGAGTTCTGAGCATTTGCTGGGTGAATGGTCCGAATTGAGTGACGTGACTGATTTTTTATTGATCCAATGCTTTAGATGAGTAAAACCCAGTTCATAACTTAGGCTCGAGGTTAGACCCCTTCATTATATGGGATGATAAAAAACAGTACGTAAATATCTTAAATAAGCAACTGAAAGTTAATTCATTTTAGTTGCAGAAAGATAGAACTACAGATATGTGCATTTCGTTTGCATTATGTTATGCGTCCAAGCCTGATAATGTGAAGGAACATATATTCATTGGAATTCATAATTTTGATCTGATAAGTTAAACTAATGATCTTTTAGTGTCGACACGAAGTATCATGAATTGAAAACATATGAGTGGCTGGTGCTCGTGGCCAAAGGGTCAGTGTTATAGATTCCAACGGCTGCCTGATTTGTCATTTTCTTTGGGTAAGAAAAGTGGTAAAACGTGAGTCTTATATCCGGGTGTTTGCTCAGAATTCTTCGAAATAATGCAACCCATTACAATTACTTACCTTGTGCTTTTCCCAGATACATATGAATTGAAAACATACGAGTGGCTGGTGCTCGTGGCGAAGGGGTCAGTGTTATAGATTCCAACAGCTGCCTCATCTGTCATTTTCTTTGGGTAAGAAAAGTGGCAAAACGTGAGTATTACATTAATACTTGCCTAACAATGTTTGAACCAGACTGATCTTTTATCAATAGGGGAATTAAACAAATTGGGGGCCTACTTAATGCCTTAGTGGCATTTACATTGCAGGGATTGAATGATCCAATTTGTTACAATCTGCATATGAATTTGCTAACCAAATCGAACGAGGCTTACACTTCAGTGGTTATGCTTCCTCAGTCATTTAGCTATGTTCTCTGTCTCAAAAATCACGTTGCAACTCTTCACTTGTTCGTGGGTTGAGAAAATGAATAAAAATCGGTGGCCCAGATTACTTGCTGTGTAGCAAGTTATTACTCTTTGTTCACTTAGTATAGCCTGTAGTTACTAACTCGATAGAAAAGAACCGGCATCCGTATAAAAATTCACAGATTATGAATATCACAATGTTTGCTTTATTGTGGAGAAATCACTCCTTCCGTATGAACCTTACCAACTAAAGACTTATCAATGACTTTTCACGAAGGAAAACTGGTCGACAATCGAGTAAATCTGACGGGGAAGGGTACTCGTTCATCTATGTAACGATTGATTTCAAACCTCGTTGGCATGATGAAGAGTATTGCCGTGAAAAGAAGTTGGTCGATATCCACTTAGACAAGTGTAACTCACCTTATAAACCAAGCCTAAATCAAAACTAGTTATGGGCTCATACGTAGAAAGCACATGTAGGGCTTTATTCATGTGGTTATGCGAGGAGTCAAACGAAGCAAGATTTTTTGTCGAGTTTCAGTTTTTAGTCCACTAGTCTTATCTGTGCTCTGCACGCGCGATGAGAAGAATGCAAGCAAGAAAGAAACGGCAATTGCTGTCAGTGATTGTCAAAGATTAAAACAGAGCATTTCAGTAATGTAGAGAGAGAGAGAGAGAGAGAGAGAGAGAGAGAGAGATGAGCTCCATGCTCACACCCACCATCTCCTTCACCAATACTAGCGCCGCTCATATCTCGCAGAAGCCATCGCCACCTCCTACCCACCACACGTTGTCCCAAAGAATCCACATTCCTTCTCATGTCTACGAGCACCCAGCAGCCATCCTCCTCGAGCTCTGCACTTCCATGAGAGAGCTCCGCGAAATCATCCCTCTCGTCATCAAGAACGGCCTCTGCGGCGAGCCCCTCTTCCAAACCAAGCTCGTCAGCCTGTTCTGCAACTACGGTAGCGTCGCCGACGCGGCTCGCGTCTTCGAGCCCATCGAGGACAAGCTCGACGCGCTCTACCACACCCTGCTCAAAGGGTACGCAAAGAACTCGTCTTTAGACGAGGCGCTGTCTTTCTTCTGTAGGATGAAGCGCGATGATGTGAAGCCCATCGTGTATAACTTCACTTACCTGCTGAAAGTTTGCGGCGACAATGCGGACCTTAGGAGAGGGAAGGAGATTCACGGGCAGCTGGTGGCTAGTGGGTTCGCGTCCAATGTGTTCGCCATGACTGGGGTTGTGAATATGTATGCGAAGTGTAGGCAGATTGGGGAAGCGTACAAGATGTTTGACAGATTGCCGCACAGAGACTTGGTCTCCTGGAATACGATAATTTCTGGTTATGCTCAAAATTGCTGGGCGGCTCCAGCGCTGGAGTTGGTTTTGCACATGCAGGAGGAAGGACAGAGGCCTGACTCCATCACCTTGGTCACGGTTTTGCCTGCCGTTGCTGATGTTGGGTCCTTGAGGATCGGCAAGTCTATACATGGTTATGCTGTGAGAGCTGGATTTGATTGTCTGGTGAATGTTTCGACTGCTTTGTTGGATATGTACTCTAAGTGCAAGACAGTGAAGACTGCTCGAGTAATTTTCGATTGGATTGAGCAGAGGACCGTGGTTACTTGGAATTCTATGATTGATGGTTATGTAGAAAATGAAAATCCTAAGGAAGCAATTGCGATTTTTGAAAAGATGTTGGACGAACAGGTGGAGCCAACAAATGTAACTGTAATGGGGGCACTCCATGCTTGTGCTGATTTGGGTGATCTTGAGCGAGGGATGTTTGTTCACAAGTTGTTGACTAGGCTGAAACTCGACTCTAATGTTTCGGTGATGAATTCTTTGATTTCCATGTATTCCAAATGTAAGAGAGTAGATCTTGCTGCAGAAATATTCAACAACTTACGGGAGAAAACCCTTGTCTCCTGGAATGCAATGATATTAGGTTTCGCGCAGAACGGGTGTGTGAGTGAGGCTCTGAATCACTTTTGCCGGATGCACTCTCAAAATGTAAAACCAGATACATTCACAATGGTGAGTGTGATTCCCGCTCTTGCGGAATTATCCGTGACCCGGCAAGCAAAGTGGATTCATGGACTGGTCATAAGATCTTGCATGGACAAGAACATTTATGTGATGACTGCTCTTGTTGACATGTATGCAAAATGTGGAGCCGTTGATACTGCCAGAAAGCTCTTTGACATGATGAAAGACCGGCATGTCATAACCTGGAACGCTATGATAGACGGATATGGTACACATGGGCATGGGCAGTCTGCTGTGGAACTGTTCAAAGCAATGCAGAATGGGACCGTTAGGCCAAATGATATAACTTTCCTTTGCATCCTTTCTGCTTGCAGCCATTCGGGTTTGGTCGATGAGGGTCTCCGTTACTTCGACAGCATGAAGCAAGACTATGGCATGGAACCTACAATGGATCACTATGGCTCCGTGGTTGACCTTCTTGGTCGAGCTGGTCGTCTCAAAGAAGCTTGGGATTTTATCCAAAAGATGCCTATTGAACCTGGAATCACCATCTTTGGGGCGATGCTGGGTGCCTGCAAGATTCATAAAAATGTTGAACTGGGAGAGAAGGCAGCAAATAAGCTGTTTGAATTGAACCCACAAGAGGGCGGGTACCATGTACTGCTTGCTAATATATATGCCACAGCCTCGATGTGGAGTAAAGTGGCCGAGGTGAGAAAAATCATGGAGAAGGAAGGGCTTCAAAAGACTCCTGGTTGTAGTTTAGTGGAGTTGAGAAATGAGGTCCATAGTTTCTATTCTGGAAGCACTGATCATCCTCAGTCTAAAAGGATTTATGCATTTCTTGAAACTCTTGTTGATGAGATTAAAGCTGCTGGTTATGTGCCTGACACCCATTCTATCCATGACGTGGAAGATGATGTGAAGGAGCAGCTGCTCAACAGCCATAGCGAGAGGCTGGCTATTGCATTTGGGCTTCTAAATACCAGCCCTGGCATGACGATACACATCCGCAAGAACTTAAGAGTTTGTGGGGATTGCCACAATGCAACAAAATACATTTCCCTTGTGACAGGAAGAGAAATAATCGTGCGTGATATGCAACGGTTTCACCACTTCAAGAATGGAACATGCTCTTGTGGAGATTACTGGTGAAACCTGTATTTAGGATGAGGACCATAATTGGGAATTGCTGGAGTGTCGCTGCAAGTTAGTGAGGAAGCCTTGCAATTTTGTATGCTGATACATTAGGTTGCATCGAAATGTCTGTGGACCTTATCAGCTTCCATGGTCAGACAGCAGGTTGCGGAAGTGTGAAAAGCACATTGCAGCAGATTTGGAGAGAAGGGAAAACAGCAATGAGTATCCCCATTTTGTAGTTTGTACATTCACTCAAATGGGAATAGCCCTGATCACATATTCATTTACTGATTATACTGTATTCTTTTCCCTTTTGGTCATATTTGTACGAATATGTATATTTCTCGATATGATTGAAACTCAATAAACTCGTATGAGGGTTTCTTCTACATGCACTGTTTCATTCACTCATTTCTTCCTATTTCCTCCGTTTAAACTAGTGCAAAAAAAAAAATCTTCTGCTATCTCTCTGCTTTCTAAAAGAATGCATTAATGTCATCGATGTAATTTTTTAATTTGGAAGCACCCTGGAACAAATAATTATGAAATCCATTTTGTTCGGCCAAAGAAAAGAAGGAACAGGCTTACTCAAATCTGAATCATTGAAGTGATAAATGTACCGGACAGCGCATAGAGAGTGCAAAAAGAGAGATGCGGTATTCGGAAGAAAGGAGCAGAGAAACGCATACAAACTTGTAAAAGAAACACAAAAAGGATATCTACACCGACTGCAACCTTCACAAAGAAAATAGGCTGCAGAGGCCAAGCAAAATGTGCATTTTTACACATGTTCATCCACTAGTTCACCTAATTACTATACAATCTCCACCAAGCACGCCAAATTCAGATTCATGAAATTCCAGCAGGCTTTCGGCCACAAAGAAAAAGAAAATCCAATAGGCTTCGTCGTCCCATGAACTCTGAACCACAATGCAAGGGTAATGGTCGGGTATCACTTCCAACACCAAAATTGTCTATATAAATAGATCTTTCGCATACGAGCATTATATGCCATGAAGGCTCTAGCTTTGATAGGATCAGCATTTAGATGCTCAAAGGCATACATCTGTTTCCCTTCTTCCAACCCATCAATCTCCATCACAGCCTGCAACAGTTCTGAGGCATCAATTGCATTTTTATTTCGGTCCATTGCATCAGCCAAGCGCTGAATGCTTGATGCAACTGTCAGCAATGCCTCTTCAACTGTCTCTGAGCTTCGAGCTCGTTTTGGATGCTTTCTGAGAGGCTGGGCAAAAGGAGGAGGGTCGGGATTACCATCTTGCACATATGCCGGAGATTCCGTGTATGACTCTGTTCCATCTGTCTCGCTAGGTTCTTCTGAACTAGGTGAAAGAAATGAGGGAGAATCTTCCTCACAGTTCTTCAAGTCACTTGCATAGCTTTCTTCCTTCATCTTAGCCCAACGACTAGGAGCTTGATAGTTTCCACAAACAATTTTTAGTTCATCATACATCTCAATCTGCTTTCCTCGAAATACTCTTGCATCCGGGTGCGCCTAGTCAATTCACTGAGGTATATCATCAACTAATAAACGAAAGCAGTAGTCAATCAGAAGAAATAAAAATCCATTGCCTATTAAACGGCTACTTACCGCAATGTATCTTTTCCATAGATCCTCATCATCGCACTCAATCATCTTTGTGTTGGGATTCCATACGAACCCATCTTGGCCGAGCAAGTCTCTCATCACTTTGTACCTCTTCTTAATTGTCTTGAGGCGATTAATTACTTTTTGGTTATTCAAGTTTAAATTAAAACGAGAGTTCACGGCAATACAAGCAGCAGTATAGGCGTTCTCATTGAAGCATTTGTCTATTTTATTCCCATTTCTTGCCTGAATAGCAAGAGCTTCGATTAGACATTTGTCCATTGCAATGGACCATACAACATTTCTTCCTTTGTGCTTCATTTCCCTTCTCTGAGCGTGCAAGTCATATTGGTCCATACCTGCTGACACCAAAGGACCGGGATTAGAAATTCGAGGATCTCTCCCTAGACGAAGCGGCAGTCATTAAAAGAATAAAAATACTCCAAACACAGCGTCCTTTATAGCGATTCACAGACTACTATGATCGTTTCATCACACATAACATCACATATAGCAGGAGGTTCATGCTCTGCCGTTCAGCACGGCTTTGAAGATACCGGGCTATTTAAGAGGCACAACGATGAACGACGACCAATGAGGCGTCGAACAACTAAAGCGAAAACATAAGAAGTTCGATGAATATAATCAGAATACAATTCAGCATTACTCCACTTATCTTTCATAACAATATCCAGTACCTCTGCTAAATGCATCTCCCGCATCGAGTACATTAATCCTTGAGAACGTTCATTCAAATGACCGCAAGGGCAGCTAAACCGGACGCACTTACGAGATCACGACATCTTAGTTCGGTGAAACAGATTCTTTCAGCAGTAGCTGCTGACACGGCGATCATCATCCATTCATCATGAAACCCAAAATTCACTATCTCAGCCTCCCAATGAGCTGGCTTGCAGAAACTAGAAATTCGCATTGACCATTCCAAAACATGGGATCAATGCATGAGCTACGAATCCCAATCGACCTCAACTACGTGTAAAACGCAAAAGCTGTGCATCAAAAGCAAGAGAGAAAAAAAAAAAGAAAAGAAAGATGCAAAGGATCAATACGAGCGAGAAAAGGGGCAGCAGAAAGAGGTCAATGCCTGTGGTGATCACTGTCAAAATGTCCGATTCAATGCCGGCAGAAATCCCCCGCCGGCCGGGCCGCCGCCGGAGAACGCGCCGGATCTCGACGAAACGAAGCGGCCTCGTCAGGACGGGCGTAGGAGGAGGAGGAAGTCGCGGAAGTTCATTTTTTGCGGGTCTCCTGAATTAGGGTTTCTCGGCTTTTCTCGGGAAAATGAAGCGAGAAATTTTCTCGGCGCACACTTTCTCGAGGACCAACAGTGTAGAAGGAAAGAGAGAGAGAGAGCGAGAGAAAAAAGAAAAGAAAGAAAGACCGCTATCGTGGACTGACGGTCACCAGATCTCCCGTGACGCCCTATCAGGAGTCGCCACATAACTGCTGACGCAAACACATCGAGAGGCTTCATGGGCCGGGCCGAGCCTCGTGGATGGGCTCCTTCCAGGAGCAGGGCCAGGCCCAGGCCCAATGGAGCGCGTATCATCGGCGAACGCTGTCTGCTCCGCTGCTTAAAAGGCATGCTCCTTTTTCGTCGTCGTCGTCGTCATCTTCGTCGAGGGTTTTAGGGTTTTTACGAGCACTCTCTCCCTCTCTTACTCTCGTTCTCTCTCTATCTCTTTCGGCTGAAATCATGACTGCTCAGACGCAGGAAGAGCTCCTCGCGGCCCATCTCGAGCAGCAGAAGATTGACGTGAGTCCCTCCGACCGCTTACCATCTCAATTTGCTTCGCTTTATTTCGCGTGATCTGAGTTCGGCTGACTCCGTGCGGGGTGCGCTCTGGTTGGAGATGCTTGCAAGTTGTCGTGGGTTTCCTATTAGATCAGTTGGATTTGAGCCGTCTCAAGTTATATTTTTTTTTTGCTATCGATTGTATCGTTCAAGCTTCGCTTCAACTTTTTTTGAAGCGAACTGGAGCTCCTCCGGCGTGAGTCGGGGAAGCAAACGCCAAAATCTTGAAGCTTTGTGTGTTATTGCCGCTGAATTTTATCTGTATCTGGTTTTTTTTTTTTGGGGGAAATAAAAGCGATTACCCGGAATGCATCTGATCCACTGATGGGAAGTTTTGGAAATGGTCCATTTGCACGAAGGTTTGCGAACATTATCGTGATCGTGTGTTTTGGGCCTCTCTAACTTAATCTTTTGGTGTGTGTCAGTTGGTCGAGTCAGTGGTACATGAATCTCAACGCTGGTAAATATATGCCATTGTCTGATTTGTCATAAGGGTCGAGGAATGCGGTCATGGGGATACGGTCATCTGGACATTTCTTATCTAGAGGGATGCGGTCATGGGGATTTCGATCCACTGGATACAGTAATAATAAAGATTCAAGAAGATTCGCCTCCAAAGATTTCATGAGCTTCGATGTGCATGCTGGAAGTTCTAAATACAAATACTTTGTTGATCCAAAAATTACAAGTCAACCCCACAAATAATGATTAATATCTTGAGAGAAATCTGCTCTGCGATGGTCAAGATTACCATTTTATTCTCTCAAACATGGTGTTAAAAGGAATATGATCATGTACAGATCAACCAGAAAACCAAATGAGTATAACAATGCATATTTTGGTTGCAATATGGTTCTGCAGCTGTTTAATACCTTTTTCTGAATACTGTGTTCTCCGAATGATTTCTTTGCATCTTTTTCCTCTTGAAGTCTGATGAACCTGTGATTGAAGATGAGGATGATGATGAGGATGACGATGAGGATGATGATAAAGATGATGATGAAATGGAGGGTACGTTTATTACAGAAATTTTAAGCAAAGCATTGTACCCCTTTCCTGATTTGTTTTCCCTTATCTTTTTCTCTGTTTCTTGCAACTTTGTTTTTGGTTTCTGTCCATCGTTCTTCCTCTCTTTCTTTCAATAAATTGGTAAATTCGTTGGTTTGGTATTTTGCGAAACTGGAAATGACATTGATGTGATTGCTTTCCCTTGATATATTTGGTGTCCAGTGTTGACTATGGATATGAGAATCTGAGCAACATGGTTTCAGGCCAAAGACATAGTTTAATTTTTCTTCCAGAAATTTATGATGTGTGGTTGGTTTGTGAGTTCAATACTTGGTGTTGGCAATGCAAGCGTCTGAGCAGGTGTCTTCAGAAAGGACCGTTGAATCTCTGGATGTTGCTGTTTTTCTTTTATTGCCCCGTGGAGACTCTAGGTTTCATAAAAACTTGTAGTTTTACTATGTGTTCTAACATCGGCCATATTGGATGTGGCTGGGTCACTGCAGTCATTCATGCAATAACTTCAGCGGCATGGGAATGTTTCTATTAGGAAATTTTAGATTCACCACAGAGTTATTGGTTGTGTCTTTGTGCTTCAGGGGAATTCACAGTAATACATCACTAGGAGTCTGGAATTTAATGAGAATGCACGGGATAGAACCATATTAGCTATCATTCTGGTTACAGAAGATTTCAATATAGTTTAGTCCTGCTGTAATGTGAATTTGCGTTGTTTTCCTCAGGACAAGGAGATGGTAGTGGTAGGTCAAAACAAAGCAGGAGCGAGAAAAAGAGTCGAAAAGCTATGCTGAAGCTTGGAATGAAACCCATTGGTGGTGTTAGTCGTGTCACCGTAAAAAAGAGCAAGAATGTGAGCACCCTTTCACTTTTCATGGTTTTATTTATTCTCACTGCCTTATAAGAATTTTGCTTGCTGATGAACTCATCTGTGTTGCTAGATCTTGTTTGTCATCTCCAAGCCAGATGTTTTCAAGAGCCCGACATCAGACACATATGTCATTTTTGGGGAAGCGAAGATTGAGGACTTGAGCTCACAGTTGCAGTCTCAAGCAGCTGAGCAGTTCAAGGCCCCTGATCTCAGTCACGTCATCTCGAAGCCCGAGTCATCAACTGTGGCTCAGGATGATGAAGAAGTGGATGAGACAGATGTGGAGCCCAAGGACATCGAGTTAGTGATGACACAGGCAGGAGTCTCGAAGTCGAGGGCCGTGAAGGCACTCAAAGCTGCAGATGGAGATATCGTTACGGCCATCATGGAGCTCACCAACTGAGAATAAGTTTTGTTTGGTCAAGTTGGATTTAGCAGCCTCTCCGTTTCTTCATGGGTTTTCAGATTTTGTGTTTCCAAGCCATCCTTTTTTCTCATCCAATCATATAAATTTCCTCCATCTGTTGTAACAATCTTATATATGGATGTTTTGATCAAAAGGTTAATGGTGTCTGTGTTTCTTTAATCTACTCACTTCGACCTAAAAAAGTTTGTTTGTTTGGGTCTTGCTTCAGTCATTCTTGCATTCTTTTGGTTGAGACATGTCTTTCGTGACTTGATCTTCCAAGAACTCAGCTCGACAAACCAGAGCATGCTCATCATTATCATGTCGGATGAAGCCCTTCCGTCAATCTCATACATAAGAAGCTTGGGGTTTCTAATTACGAACTGCCGTTTCAAGTTCGCACCGATCAAACAAAGCTACATTGCCCTCTAAGCGCACTGTTCTCAAGTGTAAGGCTGAAGCCAGGACATGAGTATCGTGCCGTAACGTCTGATCGGTTCTTGGTGTTAACTGCATATCACGCCACTAGACTTCGAATATCTAAATATGTGTCCATTCAACTATCTATCAGTTATCTGAGGAGGGCCATGTTCAATTCATTGTTTATTAACTCGACTTCGGGATATAAATTGGCACGTAATTTGAAGAAATCATGCGTCCCGACCTGAGGAAAAATTTCGAAGAAGAAAGGGTTTCAGTTTTGCGTGCCTTAATTCCAACGTCTCTTCTACTCCTAGTAACTTTTAACACAAGAATTGATTAATTGGTTGATATGCAATCTAAGCAAGTTAAATGAAATATAGAAGTTTTTGCATTTTAACATTGACTATATCGGTGGGCTTGCAACCCGACTCAACTAGAAACTAAAGGTGAGATGAACCATTGCTGTGGATCCTTTTCCCTTGTCACATCAATTGACAAACCTATCTATTCTGGATAAAATCATTAAGGTTGCGTTTGATTATCCGGATTTCTAAACAAGATAGGACTGGATAGGATAGGATAAGAAATCATCGGATTTCTTCATATCCTATCAACTGTTTGGTAGACTACGGATTTAAAGTCGGATAGGATAATTTTTTTTTTTTGCTATTTACGGGTCCGGAGGAGTCGGTGAAGGAAAAAAAGCCAAGAAATTTTTTTGGTGAAAGCGCACAAGGTGTGGGGATGAAGATGACGGCGAGTGGAGCGTAGGGTTTCTGGAAAAATAGGCATTAGAAATCCTATCCAGGTCTATCCCACGCCCCTCTTCGGATTTTTTTATTTGGGCTATATCCAGTCTATATCCGACCTTATCCTATCCTGGACCACCACCAAACACAGGATAGGATAAAACATATCCTATCTTGGCTTTTATCCGGTCGACCAAACGCAGCCTAAGGTGTCAAGATTCATAACTAATGACATCCTAGTTGTCTTCCAAATGAGATGCAATCAGACATCATGTTCTGACTGATGAGAAATATCATATACGTTGAGAAATCTTCCAAAAACTTGTCAGGAGAAATGCTCTAGATACAAAGAAATCTAAGCTAAAACTGAGATTTCTTAGTATACTTTTGTTATTGATATATCATCGTGTTTATGCATTGTCTAGCCAGAAGAAGAAGAAGAAGATGCAAATGGAAGCGCAGACTGCAGGGCACCGAAAATTTGTTTCTTCCCCAACTAAACAACTGAACCGGCGCACATCCCGGATCTTTTGCTAAACAATCCGCTAGCCACAATTGGGCACAGTTTTGCAGATCCAGAGTTTATAATATAACCTTCAACCTTTGGAACTTCGCCCTTAAAGATACCTGATGCAGAATCACATGATGGACACGTCAATCCCTACTTGTCCATTCGACTAGATTTCATAACATGAATGTTTTGCTGAATCTAATTTAGCACCATTGGAACGAGATGGAGGCGATGGATGCTGAGAACTGTCTTCAAAGTCTGGCCCACAGCTCACGACAGATCCATGCATCTTCTAATTCAATCTCTATCACAAAAATTCGGATACAAGTGCATGGGGAGTTTCGAGTTGCCTCCGGCTTTGATGTGAGCATTCAATCAGGCATCCAAACAAATAGACAGGTCAGGAACACAACGATCAGCTTGTGTAGAGAAGATCAATTTAAGACCCCTGATTTTCTATTAAATACTCTATTGTGCAGTGGCAGAGCCCCTGTATATCTCCATCAGATGCGGAACTCGTTCCACATGCTTCATCACGTATCTCTTCATGAACAACTCCTCAGTTAGTCTAAACGGCGTTACAACGGGTTTGTCCACTTTAAGAAGGCCCTTGGACGACAAAAATGTAATCACACCATGCCTTGGCCGAAGCCTTTTGTCGACTGAAAACAGAAGAAGTAGAGGCTGACTGACTATAACCTCTCGGGCTATAGATGCTGTGTTTAGATAAAAATCCACTGTCCTCCTAATCTTCTTTTCGGAAAGAGCCAAACAGTGCGGGCAACGCACAAACATTGACAAGAAATCCTCTTGAGACCAACCCAAACTCTTGAAATTCTCTACCTTCTTATTCCAAGTCGATTCATTCATCGACGACATCACCCTGAGACCATGTATGAAGCTCGTAGAGGACGGTTCCATTCCAAGACCCTTGACGGATTCAACAAAAGAAGCCACCTTCTCAACCTTCGTCACTAATGTCCTAGGTTGATACAGCATCAGAATCGCTATATCATCAAATCTCACTCCCTCCCTTATCAAGAGATCGATATTAGGTTCCAAAAGGTACTTGCGGTCAACAGTTAAAAGCCATGAACAGCGCTTAATCGCAACATCCAACGCACCGGAGGTCCTCAGATACTTCTTGAGGAATTCAATCTGCGGTTTATAGTACGAGTTCAAGCTTCTCCAAAAGAACTTACTGTTCCCAGCTATTGTAGCGAGCAAGACCGATTCCGATAATCCGACTTCACGGAAATACTCCAACTTCGGCTTGAGATTCGATTCCACGTTCGACAGGAGGAGCGACGGTGTATTAGTGACCAATTTGGCCATCTGGGCTTTGCCGAATTCGCGGGAACGCAAGAACCTGAGCACGGAATCGGCCTTTTCGACGCCATTTTGGTGGGCACCGAGTTTCTGAGCGACGGAAACAGCGGACTCCAAAGGAAGATCAAGCGATTTCACGAGACAATCAACCAATGCCGATGAGGAAGAAGGCGGCGGCGGCGACTTCGGAGGTTTAAGGAGCGCGGCCGTGGTTTCAAGAAAGCGCCTTTGGGCGAACAAGAAGAGATTTTTAGCTGAAACTCTGAACATTTGTGGAATCGGAATGGATCCCAGCACAGCGATGGGCGCAATGCGTAAAGGGTTCTTGGGATTCGAGCGGATGGAGATTGAAATTTTACCTCAGTCGGCGATTCGCCTCCTCTGCTTTTCGAGTCTCTTCTGCTTTGTGTAAGGAGGAGGTTGGGGAGCGATTGGGTTTCTGTTCTAGGGTTTTGCCGAAAAGGTGACTTTTTATTATTATTATTATTATGGCAGTAGCCGTTAGAGTACTTTTGGGTAAAAGAATATGTGTTGATTTTTTTTTTTGGATAATAAATATGTGTTGATTTTACTTGCTGCAATTGCTTATGAGATGATGATTCGACTAGTGCCATTGCCATGTGAATCCCATTGCATTTTTGTTTTCCAAAATTTGTTCTTTGATTTAATTGAGTTTGATTGACTTAGCTCTAAGCTTCACTTCGTCGCAAATTCATAGATTTGTGAGGAGTCAGAGTGCAAAGTGAAATCTTCTCTTTCCCATTTGGCCAACCCCCACAAGCAGAGTCTTGAGGCCGAAGAACCTCTGGTCCTAGACCGTGCGACTCGTGCAATACCTAAGATCAGGTTGTCGAAATCGCATGCAAGACTAGTGGCATAGAGAAGTTAAAACCGAGTTATCTTGGCTATTTGATATGAGGTGAGTCATGGTGGAGGGCACGGTGGACCTGAGTATTGTCCTTTACGTCGGAAGGCTATGGCATTATCCGGGGTGGCTAATTGAACTTTGAAAGGAAAAAAATTGACATTGGATGGATATTTTCTTCTACAGTGGACGGTGACAGTGAAGGCTTTGGTGACTGTGAATCACCTGCTAAATGTAGCCCTAGCTTAAAAGTGAACCAGGATAAACCTTGTATCTCGATTTTTCTTTCTCGCCTTTTTACTCTCTATTTCGTTGTGCATCTCATTTTAACAATTGTGACTGCAGAGAATGTTGGCAATGTTCTGAAAAGGCAAGACTTCGCAAGAAGATTGGCCATTGCTAAACGTTAATCATGCACGATACAATACAAAACAATGCGGGGAACGCAATGGCATTCCCCTTTCAAGGGCTAGAGAGGCTGCATTGCAAGAAACCTCATAATGGACACAGTTTCTCCTTGAATCAACTAAAGTAAATGGAGTTCTAACAGCTTGTCCTCGGACAGGACATACTCTGGAGACTGCCGTGAATCTCGTTCACAAGCATGCCTGCATGATAAGGAGTGTCCAGAGCAAGATGTTAGCAGATTGAGGTGCACGGCAATATCAACAGCAGAGAGGGCAGTTAAACATACTGCTTTTCTAGAAGCTCTGTTCTTACATGCAAACTTATGTTTTGCGCAGCACTTCAATATCTGATTGCGCCGGGATGATCGCTATTCAACAGACAGGAGAATCACCCAATAGATGCCGCAAGTAAATCGGAAGTCCCAGGTACCCTCCTGCTTCGATGCGATCAATCAAGCTTTCTCATAAAAATAGACAGGACTGCCAACCCGACAATCAGCTCATGCAGAAGCGTTAAATTGAGGTCCTTGAATTTCTATCAGATAACTCTTTCATGCGGTGGCAGAGGCCCTGTATATCTCCATCAGATGCGGAACTTGTTCCAGGTGCTTCATCACGTATTTCTCCAAGAACAGCTTTTTGGATAGTTTAAACGGCATCACAATGGATTTTTGCTTTTTAAGAAGGCCCTTGGACCGAAGAACTGTAACCACACGATGCCTCGGCCAAAGCCTTTTGTCGACTGAAAACTGAAGAGATAGAGGCTGACCGACGATAACCTCCCTAGCGATCGATGCGGTATTGAGATAAAAATCCACTGTCCTCCTAATCTTCTTCTCGGAAAGAGCCCAACACAGCGGGCGACGCACGAACATGGACCAGCACTCCTCTTGAGACCAACCCAAACTCTTGAAATTCTCCACCTTCTTATGCCAAGTCGACTCCTTCAACGACGACATCACTCGGAGACCATGTATGAAATTCGCAGAGGACGGCTCCATCCCAAGACCCTTGATGAATTCAACAACAGAAGCCATCTTCTCCACATTCATCATTAGCACCCCAGGTTGATACAACATCAGATGCGACACGTCCTCCGATCTCACCCCCTCCCTTATCAGAAGCTCGATGTTAGGCTCCAAGGCATACTTGTGATTGCTAGTCAAGAGCCACGAACACCGCTTAATCGCGTTATCCAACTCATTGGAGGTCCTCAGGTACTTCCTGAGGAAATCGACCTGCCGCTTATAGTACGAATCCAAGCTTCTGGTGAAGAACCTGCTGTTCCCGGCGATCGTACCGAGCAAGACCGGATCCGACACCCCGATCCCGCGGAAATACTCCAATTTCGGCTTGAGGGTCGATTCCACGCTCGACAGGAGGAGCGACGGCCCGTTGACGACCAACTTCGCGATCTGCGCATCGCCGAACCCGCAGGAACCCGATCACGGAATCGGCTCTTGCGGCGCCGTTTCGGTGGGCGCCGAGCTTCCGGGAGATGGAAGCGGCGGATTCCAGAGGAAGGCCGAGCGATTTCACGAGACGATCGACCGCCGGCGGCGGCGGCGGCGGCGAAGACGTTGCCAGAGAGCGTTTTGGGGCGAACAAGAAGAGATTTTTAGCCGGAAATTTGAACATTGAGGGGAGCAGAAGTTGAGCTTACCTTGCTGTTCCTCTGCTGCGCGATTCGGACCATTTGATGTTTCCTTGGTCGGTCGCTGGTTCTTCTTCTGCTTCGTGGGAGAAGGTGGGCTGGATTGGCTTCTGTGTCTAGGGTTTTGCCGATGCGTAGCCGTTGAAGGTCCCCGTCCTTTCTTTTTAAAGAAGGGAAAATGCTATCTGACATTTCAAATTTATGTCGATACATTTATCCTGTAATTTTTTTTATAACATAAAAAATCCCAAAATTTTATATTTACGCGACACGTTTACCATCAATCTAGATTCCGTCGATGAGCAAATATGCCTCCATGTGGGCGACATACGACAAATGGTATTGACATGGCGCCCACACACTAAAGTGAAAGAAACGACGTCGTTTTGGCTAAAACATTATCTACCGGAACATTAACGGAGGGAGGGTAAGTGTTTCGCGGGGTACAAGTGTGTACTTTTCTTTATGTTAGAATAAAAAGTTTAGAAAAAAATCTGTCACGGTAAGTATGGTTTGGAGTTTTTTATGTTGAAAAAAAAAAAGGATAAATCTGTCGCGGTGAGCATAGTTTTAGATTTTTGGTAGCTTTACACTTTAACAAAAATAAACCCTGCAAACATAGCATTCACCGTCCGACCAAACAAACATAGCATTCACCAACATTACTTCTTTGGAGACCCATGCTATTACTTACCACCACATATTACATTTGATGGCTTTGCCAATTAAATCAATAGAACATTGTCATTGTAGATTATGCCTTTGAAATTAAAGAGGGGTCGATCGATGTTAAAAAAAAGTCAGTACATCTATACAAGCATTAGCGAATTCCCATTTCTTATATGTCACGTAGAATTCATCTCATGGTAATAAGTTTCGAGTTTGTATATTGCTCTAGTTAGTTATATTCTCGATTCCTACTCAGCAATTTTTCCTCAAGTGTTAGTAGACTATGACTCTGATGTTCGCCATCGTGTCGGTAATTGCGCGTGTATTAGTGGATACTCCGCAAAAAAACCAAACATTGGCAACTTCTCCAAAAGGCTTAAAAGGTTAATAGTAAGGTAAGTAGTATCTTCTCAACCGATACGGGTGATCATTCGTTTGTCATGGTCAAAGTCAGTATGCCGCAGTGAGAAGCAAACAAGCAACTGGTTCAAATCAAAACAACCTTCATTAACCAGTTTATCCCCTTCCATTTATTGCCAATGGCTTGGAAAATTGATCTGCTTAATGCTAACTAGGCTTAGGTTGGGCCAATGTTCTTTTCAGTCCGCAACTTCCAAGAAGCCGCAACAATTGATTCGAACTTTCGACAAGAACTCAACGATGCAGCCTCAGAGCATGTCATGAGCATAGCTTTCATGGATCCATCTATTTTATGGAGGCAAGTACATGAGCATGTTCATGATCAAGATTCAATAAAACAGAGAAGCTGATCATTTCAATACAAAGAAAATGTCGTGCAGAATACAGAGTCTTCATAATATGTGCATGAGTACCTTCAATGTTCTATCATAGGTACTGCAGCAAGAGATTCCATCTTTCTACCTAGTTGTAATAGCAGGTTTCATCGAGGCTCTAAAGGCAGACATATATATAAAGCGAGGGATACACGGGGAGTGGTTTAGCAAAACAAGTATTACATCGAGCATGGGAGTAGCGTTTCCTTCATGTGTTTAGACTAGAGTATTTCGGGAGAAACCCTTCTCAGTTCATGCAATTTAGGCATCCCAGAAAACTTCTTGGCCATTCTCAAGGGCTTCTCCAATGCTAAAGCCCAAAGGAGCGTATCATCTGTGAACTTAGGTAACTTGGCATTGCCGATCATATGCTGTCTTGGATCTCTTTATTTACCACCTTTTCCCCCATAAATATGCCAGAAACGAGTGAGCATCCAGAATTTCCAAATTCCAATTACCGCAGCCAACTGGAGTGACTTAGATCATCGTTTACATACTGCCCCACGTCTCATTCATAGACAGTAGACACCACTGCATATGAGAGAGAAGGAAAACTACAAAGCTTCTCGAGACACAGTGGCAACACCAATGCCAGGGGATATGGACTGACCTTTTCCGAGTAAAGTGAGAGATAGGACTGACTAGCAAAGTATCACCCAATAAGGCACAGATTCAACAAAGTCCAGTTTCACAATCTTACCAGACCATTTCAAGTTGCTTCCTTGATTGACACAACAGTTATTCATCAAGCTGCTATCAAGCAGACAGGATCCCCAACCCGACAATCAGCTCATGCAGAAGCGAACAAATGTCCCTCGTATTTTCGGTTCTCCTATGGGGTCACAGAGCCTCTGAATATCTCCATCAGATGGGGAACCTGGTCCAAGTGCCTCATCACATGATTCTCCAGGAACAACTTATCAGACAGTTTAAACAGATTGATAATTCTTCGATCCTTTTCGAGCAAGCCCTCGGACAACAAGACTTTAATCACGTTATGCCTAGGCTGAAGCCTTTTGTCTATCGAATACGTAAGAGACAGTGGATGAAACACTATGTCCTCCTGAGCTATCAATTCCACTACTCTCCTAACCTTGTCCTCCGAGACAGTCAAGAAACGGGGATACCGCATAAACATAGACACGACATCCTCTTGACACCAGCCCAAGCTCTTGAAAAACTCCACCTTGTTATGCCAAGTCGACTCGTTCATCGACAACATCACCCTCACGGCCTTCACAAACTTCATCGACCCCGGCTCGAACCCGAACCTTTTGACAGATTCGACAACGGAAGCTATCCTATCAACCTTGAGTGTCAGAGCTCTCGGTTGCCGGATCATCAGCAGCGATATGTCATCGATGCTTACTCCTTCGCTCATCAAGAGCTTGATGTTCGGGCCCAAATTACGCCTGTGATTCGCAGTCAAGAGCCACAAGTTGCGCCTGATGGCGGTATCGAACGCATCCGAGCTCCTGAGATACTTCTTGAGGAAATCAATCTGGGGTTTCAAGAACGAATCCACGCTCTTGTTAAAGACCGCAGGGTTCACGGCCATGGCGCTGAGCAAGACCGAACCCGACACCCCGCTCTCGCGGAGGAACTGCATCTGTGGCTTGAGGGTCGACTCCACGTCAGACAGGAGCAGCGACGGCCGCTTCGCGATCAATTTCGCGAGCCGCGCCTCGTCGTAGCCGCAGGATTTCAAGAACCCAAGCACGGAACTGGCTCTCTCGACGTCGTCCGGGACCTTGCCGTCGATTCTGAGCTTCTTGCAGATCGAAACGGTGGACTCTAAGGGCAGGCCGAGCGATTCCACGAGGCGATCGAGCAGCGGCGACGGCGAATGTGGAGCTTTGAGAAGCGTAGACCATGTGACCAGGAGGCGCTTGGGGAAGACGGAGTAGAGATTTCCATTGAAGAAGTGGAGCATTTTGGGAATCAGCATCGAGATTCAAATGGGTTTTGCTTCAGGATTCAAATTGCATTACCTGGAAGAAGAAGATGATGATGAAGGTGATGATGAAGGTGATGATGCGATTCCTTTGATTTTCCATGTCGCTGAGCTTTGTCCTTCTTGCGGGTGGGTTGTTGGGGGCTTCTAAATTCTAATTACTTTAGATAACCATACAAATGTTCCCACGATTTTGGCTTAGTGATTCCCAACTTCTACTTTATTTAGTATGGCTCCCCGAACTTTATCTCGACATGTAATATTAATTCTGAACTTTTAATTTGTTCAATGTCGTTCCTGAACTTTTCGTATATGAAAACGTTCGATGTTATCTCTCCGTCAATTCTGATTCAAGGATAGCATTAGATAATTTTATACGATGCAAGGATTAAATTGAATATGTACAAAAAATTCAGAGGCCACGTTGAAAAAAGTTCAGGGATCATATTGAACAGTGAGTTACGATTCATGGGCACATTAAATAAATTAAAAATTCAGTATCGTATTATACATTAAATCAAAGTTTAGAGATCAATTATGTCATTTTTTTCACATACTTACGATCTCGATCCATAGACGAAATACAATCGTACCCATCGAATTTCGAAAAGTCAATAAGTTCAAGTAACCTTCTTTTCACATATTTTTTTAAAACTAATTTTCACATTTTGTTTGGCAAGGGATAAAAATAGGAGTTTTGTCTATGGAAAAGGAGAAATTTGAGAGATGATTCATAGATCACATTATCTGCATCTTGGTAAGAAAGAAGGAAAAGATCGAGAGTCTATATGTGTTGCAACCAAACTTGAATTTGGGAGAGTAGATCATCACATTCATCATGCTCACGAAGGCTCGCTCGAGAAAGCAAGGTCGTCTTTCTCAAGTACCATCTAGATCAAGCGAGATCTTGATCCAAGCTTGTCGATGATGGCGAGCATGATCTCCTCCGTCTTTGAGATGAATCTCTTAAAGCTAACAATGTTGTCGCGATGGTTACACCAATGAAAGACGGAGTCCAACTGCTGCAATGATGATGGAGGCCGCAACAACGGTTGGAGGCAAAGTCACCATGCAATGGCTGATCGAGAAAGAATACTTGACGTGGTAAGTAAGAACATTGGCGTCTATTGTTGTGCATGTCGGTCTTGTAAATCACCTTAATTGATATGTATAGATATCGATATCACCTAATCATAGATCAAATTATGCGAGCATGTTTATGAACTATGTGAAGTATAGCTCAAATGTTCCAATGCAAAAAAATTCCACGAATTAGGCAAAATCCCATTTTCGATCCCTAAATTTGCATGTTCTCACCAATCAAGCACCTAAACTTTTCATCTGATTAATCAGATTTAGAAAAGAATAATCTTGATTAGAAAAATTTACGGAAGTGCAATGTCCAAAGTGGGACACCTTATTCTTATAAAAGTTTCAATTCAATCCCGATCGAGGCGTTCTTCTCGTCGACCATGGAGAGACGGCAGCAGCAGCAGCAGAATCCTCGTCGGAACCCCTCTTCTTCTTCTTCTTCTTCTTCTTCAAGCCACTCATCCAACCACAGGTGGCGATATCGACCTCCTCCCAACAGGACCGGCGGCGATGCTCGAGCGCGTCATCGCAAAGATTCGTACCTCGTCGATTCCGGAGACGCGACGGCGCATGCCTCCGAGGCCGTCGCCGGGAGCTCAACGGGCAATCGGGAGCGGCGAGAACAGCGCCGGCGTGATCAGGATCGAGAGGATGGGCGAGACTGTGGTGAATTCGCGTCCGTAGTCGGGACTTGCCCTTACATGTGCCCTGGTTAGTTGTCAAAATCTCTGCTTTTGGTGATTTCCGATTGCTTTGTTTCGCTCTCCTTAGTAGTCGCATGATGGGTTTGGGCTAAATCAGTGGTGTGATCCCGTAGCATTGAAAGTCGGTAGATGAGATGTGAAATTTAGGGTCGGAAGATTGCTGCCCCTCCTCTGCTACTACTACATTTGGGTCGATGACTTGGCCGGTGAAATACTTGGTCGCAGTTTTTTCAGCGACGAGGCGTGTTTAGTCCAATTCAAGTTCCTCGAGTCGAGTTTCTTTGAGGTGCCGTTTAAATGGTCCCGGTCATGAAATCTCTTGCACTAGTGCAGGGGAGCTGAGATTGGTTGTGTGAATGCTTTACCCTTTTCTGGGGTTCAGATTGTTATGTTTTTTGTATGGCTGTTCAGCAATGTGTCATATTTCGTGCGATTTATTTGGCACATATTGCAGTGGGGGAGATGGCCCAGCGTGAACGGTTACGCGATTTAGCTGTGTTTGAGAGGTTGCATGGTAATCCGGTGAAAACATCTCCCGAACTTGCTGTCAAAAAGGTAGACTTTACTTCGTTTTTACTTCTAGCGAAGGGTGTAACTTCTTTTTTGAGAAATATGAATGAATTGCTCTGGGAATTTCCCCGGAAACAAAACTTATGTGACTTAAATGGTGAAATTGCCTTGGATCAATGTCTCTAGTTTTGCAGGACAATATCCACGAAGCATGTGCAGTTATCGGATATACGACCTTTTTCAGTGTTGGGAAGCACTCTAGATTACCTTATGGGCTTGATGAATTCTACACCAGAGCCTTTTGAAACAGTTCATGACTTCATATTTGACAGAACGCGTTCCATAAGACAAGACCTGAGCATGCAGAATATAGTTGACAAAAGAGTGATTCATATGTACGAGAAAATGGTATGCTCCTCTTGGTGAGACTTCTGCACATTTCTCTGATTCTTCCTCTGGCTGTGAACGAACCAATTAACTCATGTTTCGGGCATTTACTTATAGAACATGAAAGTGGAACAAAACTAAACTTTCAAACTCATAAAAATTTTACTAGGCACGGTCAAGATGCTGGTATTTAATCTACTGGAAAGATGATGTGGCGATATGACTCCTCTTGCAATTGACAATCTAAAGCTTTCCGGGTTGTGCTGTAGAATGACATGGTTCCCTGTCTGTCTGTCTGTCTGTCTGTCTGTCTGTCTGTCTTAATGTTCTTGCAGGTTAATTTTCATGTCATTTCTCACCACAAGCTTAGAGTTAGTAGCAGTGGACCCAACAGTTTCAATATCTCTTCATTGCATCACCTCAATAGGGAGCAGCTAGCGAAGGTGTTGACATCTTTATACAATCTTTATGATCTGAATCGAGATCCTAACTCTATGCACAAGAACGAACCAGAGTATCGCTCACTTTATGTGCTGCTTTGTCTCAATTCTGAAAGCCTTCCAGAGGTTTGAATATTAAGTTAATCGTGTCTTATACTGTTAATTCCTCGCATTTTTTGGCGCTAGATGAGTAAGAGCCACTTCCTCTTCACTGACAGGGTGAGAGACTTTCTTTGTTCTTTCGTCGTGTGCCTACTCCTGTTATCAAGTCTAAAGAAATGTCTTTCGCGAGAAGAATTTTGAGGTGCGTTTATAACCTATCTGTCTTGGTAACTTAATATTTTATGTATCCTGTTATTCATGATGATTTTTCGTGTTAATTGCATGAGCCGAGCTTTCAGAAATTATTTCTACTTGGCAGATATTTCAGGACGGGCAATTATAACCGCTTCTTTAGTACCATAGCAGCTGAGGCGTCCTATCTCCAGTATTGTGCCCTCGAACCTTATATTGATAAGGTTGTCCAATTATACTGTTTCTCTTATGGCCTCTTCTTTTGGTGTTCTAGTCGTATAAACTTTTACTGGAACCATTCCCTTCTTGGACCCAGGGAGAGATGATGGGCATCATCTTTTCTTGCTCACCATATAATCTTTCAAATTGACCTGTTTTGCAAAGCAGTTCTCTTTATTGGTGAATAGATTGCATTGGGTTGTATATCTTTAAAGTAAATATATATATTTTTTCGTCACTTAACCCTATTTGAGTTTTTGGTTGGTAATTAAATTTGCTTACTATGAAAGGTTCGAGCTCTGGCTGTTTTATGCATTAATAATGGCGGCTACAAGCTTCATCCATACCCGATAGCTCATCTATCTAATCTCCTGATGATGGAGGTATGGCCTCTTCATATAAAAATGACTTAACTAATGTACTCATGTCATGTAGTACTCTCCCTGAGTTTGTTTATCTGTATTTTTCTCCACCTTGAATTTATTGAAGAATTTTTACTTCCCTAGGAATCAGAAGTGGAGTCGTTCTGCAATGCATGCGGCCTTGAGACCTCCATAGACGAACAGGGAAATAAGGTTTTACCCACCAAACAGCCGGCCTTCAATCATCCAAAGGCAGGACACGAGACGTATGGCTTTTCGGGTTTGGAAAATATTTGCAGGTAAATTTGTTAGCTCGACAAGTTTTTAGGCTCATTTCTTCTTGCTATGGAGCTTTAATCAGTCAATTACTGTGTCTTAGTTTCGATATGGTATAAATCCTGTTGCTACTAATCATCACATTGTGGGTCCCTCTTATTTTAGGGGGAGAGAAGCTGAAGAGAATGTCTGAAACATTGATCCATTCATCTAGGGGTCACTTACTCTTACAGGACTCTCTGAATTGCCGGCAAGTAACGACAAATTCAGAAGCGTAGGATCTTCTATGGCCATTCGATATCTTCAGGTCACAAGATCCAACCCGAGGGGCAAAAGTTCAATAGGACGTCCTTCTCACATGTTCTCATCGCTTGCCATCCCAAAGAGCTCCTAAACCTGATTCAACTCAAAGGTGTACTCCTCCAGGCTACCCTTTGGCTTACTGACGATCCTCACTTCATCTCCGAGTCTAGGAATGAAGAAAATAAGCTCCCTACCTTCGAAATTTGCTTGCTATAATTATCGGCTCTTCAAATGGCTTTGATCCGAATCAATATGTTGTGTCACATCCGTCAGCTGTGCGTTGGTGAAGTACATGACTGCCCCAATAGTTTGACTATGTATGTCCGTACTGTGCTAATAACAGATTGGTCTTCCTTGTTCTGATTATCGTGGGAATTAACCACAAGGTTTCAATGCATCAATTGGCTTTTGATGTAAACCAAGGTCGGTACTAGACGACACCTTCACAACGGCAAAATCAAAGAGCCGATGGCCCAATTTTGAGCTTCAACATTTGCAAAAGAAGCCAAATATGCTTCTCAATTTCAAAAGGACCCATGTGTTGGTCCGGCTACAACCAATCGAAATCAATGAATTGCATCTCTGAAGGGCTATCTTAAAGCTGCATTTGAAACTATGGACCATCATGGGATAAAGTTGCCGTCCAAACATGAGATTGTCAACGCATATCCCCCATAACAAAAAACTCTGACCACAGACCTACCATGTGTCCCAACAAATAGAATGCATTATCACGCCGAGATCAGTGTCACAGCCAAAAACAGTAAGATGGCCAGGCCAAAGCAAAAACCCACGATTGCCAAGAATGCCTGCAAACAAAGAATGATCGAGGTAAAATTCGATTGAACCAGGCGAATTGTAAAGACAAATGGCCAGAGTTTGAAGAACTCAAGTTTCAGCTACCTTCTCCTGAGATTCAAATTTGTATCGTGTTGTAAACCAGGACAATCCTCTGTCTACAAAAGGCGCAAGGGCGAGGGCCCTGCATGAGAAGCAACTCGACAATGTTCACCAATATCTTACAGGTGTGAATGAGAATGGAAAATGCCAACAGATGCCCACTCATATAATCATAAAGCTAAGCAAGAATCCCTGGAAATCGGCATTTGCAAAGTTGATTTGCCTTGCTGAGATCTATTATACCTGGTTAGCCAGCATATAGAGATTAGTTACATAAAAGAAGATACTAATCTAGCAGCTTACCCTCCAGCTCTTATAAGCTTTGTGACTTGGCTTCCAGCCCAAACCATGGCCATTACCTTGATGAACCTGCAAGTTCCTTACATGATGACATCCCATATTAATCCTCACCAAATGACCAAAAGAATGCATACCTTTCAACCGCGGCAAGGTAGCCCATTTTTCCTGGTGCCGGTGCAAAGTAAAACCTGCAGAACTGTTTAGATTAGCATATGATGTCTATAAGTATTAGTGAAAATCAAAAAATGGATTCTCTCATTTTTGTCATGAGTGCGTGATAAATATTAATTTGATAAACTTATTCTCCACCGATGAAAGATGCATAGCAAGATAGAGTCAACGCACTAGCGGAAGTTATTACAGTAGCTGATTAGGTGTCCATGCACCAGCACCCATATTGTGAACAAGGATCTGCAGGATTACATCCGTACTGATATTCGACAGCCTATGCATATTATATTGCTTTTCTTCTCACTTAGTATATTTAAATGCTGTTTCCCATTAAATTAAATACAGATAAAAGTTGTTGCTTGTAAAGATGCTAACAGTTCTCATATATAAAAGAAAAAATCAACGGACATTGGTGACGCAAAATACTCCTTCAAAGTAGAGTGAAGCTGCATCTTTTATGTTTCATCTATTAATGCATATGCAGGAATTATAAAGCCAGATGCCAAACAAACTAACTTGCTTTACACCACTGACAATATGTCTGCAATTACACTCCCATAAAGGTAAATCCTCATGTTTAAGGATTTAATATCAAGAAATGCTGATCCCAGTGCTGACTAAAAGACAAAAGCAATTATGCCATACGTAAGTCCATCACTCACCAGACCAGAAGAAATGTTGTAAGGTAGTAAGCAGTGTTCAACAACCCATAGGACAATATTCCAGCTATTCCATATCTCTTTAATTTCTTCAGTGTCCTACCCAAAAAAGAAAAAAGATTAAACAAGGCACTCAAGATAATGCTAAGAACATTTTGAAAAAAAGGTAAAACTAGACGTATAAAAGAATATTGATGATTTCCAAGAAAACCAACATTTTAGAAAGGTGAAATTAGTGAAGCCTATAATAACAAAGAGACCAAACTGTAAGCATGACTTGTTTAGAGACTTGGAGAAGGAAACACAGAGCTTAAGAAGTAGTGTTCAAAAGAACAGTCTTCAACTAACCCTAAAAGATCATTACCGTCATTTCTTTTCTTTTCTTTTCTTTTCTTTTGTTTGGCCATTGTCACCATCATTTCTTGAGCAAGAAAAGTGCAGCAATCCTATATTAAAAGCCTTAAACAAAAGGATACAGACAATCCAGACTTGCAGAAATCCAGCACGATCCACTTTTTACACATCAAGGCTCAAACGGTGTAGCACTCATAAAATGTCATCATAATATGCTTTTATGTTTACAGGAGTGCATCGAAACTAGATAAAGACATCGATAGTACTAGCACTGTAAGTTTAATAAGATTCTCATGCAAGCCATCAATGGCATGTTGAGAAAATCCCATCCCATTAAGGCAAATATAATTTATTCACTTCAGAGTACTGTCCTTCATGCTAACCATGCTCTGCTCTCTCTCCCCGACCCACCCCTTGGTGGAATAAAATAGCCATAGCATCTGGAAGCTGGGTGCATTAACGGACTTTCAAACTTATTCTCATCCTTAGAAGAGCAAATCCATATAGAGCAGTGCGAAGAAACTCATTGGACCTTGTGTTTTCAGTGCTCATACTGATATCTATTTATTCCATCGTATCTGAAGAGGTCCAACATCTTTATTGCTATAATCACACATGAACTGTGAAAGAACTAGTATTATTTTTTCCAGATCACATGAGACGAGACATTGTTTCCGTCCTGCAGCATCGACTAACGAGATGAAATCACTATAAGTAATCAACTGAACTCCCTTATATGGCATCCTGAGGATGGGAGGATGTTTCATCCTGTTCAGTTGAATTGACCAACTAATGCATTGTCTCTATTAAACCTGAGTGCAATTTTGAAAACTAGTGGTCATCAGTATAACATAGAAAGATCATGATCCTATGGTTCCTGCTCCTCCTTGAATAGAACAGTTAATTAGTAGCTCTCACATAGCCAGTCACGGATAGACTTGTATTTTGGTTATCACAGAGCAGATCGACATGATAGACTCATATTTCCAGAATCATAAGGCAGGCAAGTAAGTACTCATTCGATGCCAGTGGTCCTCCCTCTTGCCTTCCACCGTGATCAATGCCTTCTTCACTGGTACAGATACTTTCTGCATCTGACAGACTGTAAGCCTGAAATGAAGAAGAAAATCTGAGAAATAGAAGAACAGAGAGACTCTGTGGTGTTCGATAAGAAATCTTTTCCAGATAACCAACCACTCAAATAAGGGCATCCAACTTCAGCTAAAAGCTAAGAGATTGCATCTCATCAGTTAACAACAAACAATGTTTCCATAACGACAAATACGATAGTCAGGTTGCAGCTTTCCTACTCGAAGATCGTTCTCTATCACCCAAACCTATGCCTTAACAAGAAAATTCAGCAGTCTCCTTTATCCCTTCACTAACACCACCTTTCACCTGCTCGTCTATCAACGCATGTTCTCTCGCCTTTCCATGCCAAAATAACGTGCGAGCGCAACAGATGCTTTAGCATTTCTGTGCGGAGTCGCGATCTCTCCGCACAGAACTCGACAAAACACAATCCTCCTAGCGCCACGGATGTCCTAACCGAAATCGACCTCAAAGACAGCCAACACATCCTCGCTAATCATCGTTCCCATCGGCGAACCACAACGCCCGTCACGACTCGTGCTCATCACCACTCGCGAGATCGAATAAGAACAACCGCAAAGCAGAACTCACTCACATTGCCGCCATCGCCGTTGACCGAGCAGAGCCGTGCGTACCGGCACCGGCCGACGGGGAGAACCTTCGCGTCATCCGGGCAGCGAACGCTTGCGGAAGCCCTGGGAGCGCCCGTGAAGATCAGCTGATCGACATCGACATCGAGAGTCACGAACCGCGAGTTACGTCCGGCGACGAGGATATTCCGGCGACGGAGAATCGCACGAAGAGGAAGGAGCAAATGCACAGAGAGAGGGAGTAGAGAGAGAGAAGTACCTGAGGTTTGGGAAGGCTGAGGCAGAGGAGGAAGGAGGTTCTGTGCAGGAGAAGCATTTGAGGAGAGACGACCTGAACTGTGGAAGAGTCGATAGATATGTAAATATGTAAAATTGAAAGGAGGTTCATTCATTTATTTTTCCAGTAACGCATAGTAAAATAATTAGGGAAAATTTTAAATAAGGGTCTAAAGTGAGACTTTGTATCAAATAAGAGTGGCTGAAGTGTTATCATTTCCTCAAATGAGGATTTGAAATGGATTTTATTTCAAATAATGACATGAAGTAGCGAAAAAATGGCTCGACTTTCAGGGTGATAAGGAAAAAAGAAAAGATAATTTAAAATTAAAATTGTCTTTGGACAAAAATACCCTTAATCGGCCGGAATATTTCGTCGGCTGGCGACCGACGAGGTTGGACCCTTATCTGAAACTGTCGTGGCCACTTCAGGTCCTATTCGAGACTGACATGTCATTTCAGACTCTTATTTGAAATTTTTTCTAAATAATATATTGGAGTAAACGATGATTGGCTCTTTTTTTTTTTTCATATCGGTCGTGTTACACTCTATTAATGATTCGATTGTTTACCCCATCTGATTAAGTTTTTTCTCCAAAATCGCATGTGATTCATTCCTTTGATTTGTTGCGATCGATGTTTACTAGAAAGGATGCACTGCATGCAAGTATGAGCCCCGATCCCAATCAAATCAAGACAAAAAAGAGATCTTTAACAGGTAATTGGGTACACGATAAATCTGATCAGTTGAAGTCGACACAAATCAAAAGAAAAAAATTAGGAAATAATTATATATATTTTTGCTCTACGGGGAATTCCTTGAAATTGAAATAAGTTCAAACAATTCTAGTACGCATGTTAATCTATATTGAAATGATTATTTAATATATATATATATATATATATATATATATATATATATGAAAAAAAGAAGAAGGAAGAATGGGAAGCGGGTATATATATATATATATATATGAAAAAAAAAGAAGAAGGAAGAATGGGAAGCGGGTCAAGAATATCATTTTTACACACCCGGATCCGGAGTTAGTGGGTTTTCGAGGATGGGTTGGGCCAAATCCTATTTTTGCGAAAATTGCAATTCGATCCTCCTCCATTATTCGCAAAATCCTCGCCATATAAATAGAGGCCACCGAACTGGACCATTCCAATCAAGCGGAGGCAGCTGAACAACGACGAATCGATTCGCATACCTCCCCTTCGCTTAGCTCCGCTCCTCTCCTCTACCCTGCTCTCTCTGTAAAACCCTAGCTGAAGGTACGCCGCTGCGCTTCCTGAATTCGATGCATGGCTGCCCTGCGGCGGCGTTGTCTGGACGCATCTCTTCTTGATTCTTGGTGTTCGGTTCGGTGTTTTGCTTTGCTTTCCTTTGTTTGTGTGCGGTTTCGCCTGTTATCGGAGCCGCCGCCGCCGCCGTCTTCTGTTGGTGTTTGGTTTCGCCTGTTATCAGAGTAGCTGCCGCCGCCGTCGTCGTCTGTTGTGTGCGGTTTCGCCTGTTATTTGGGGGAGCTGCCGTCGTCGTCGTCTGTTGTGTGCGGTTTCGCATGTTATTTGGAGTAGCTGCTGTCGTCGTCGTCGTCGTCTGTCTAGTGGAAGGCAGGCTTTGGATGCGATGAGACGGCTGGTGTGGCGGTGGGTTTGTGTTTTGTTTGTGCTGGGTCGTGTTTGGGCGCGGGGTGATTGTGAAAGATTAGTTCGGTGGGGCTGTACCGTTCCAGTAATATGTGAAGTGCCACTTTTTGTTATTTCGTGCTCTGGCTGGTGATTGGGGATTCTCCGGTAGTTGCTGTTGGTGCGTTTGAATGTGAATTTTGCCTTTGGAGGCTGGGCGCCACGCCCGCGTGTCGATTTGGGGATTTGGGGCTCTGCAGAAACCTTCAGCCCTAACTTTAGTTTCTCTGTTCTCGTTGGTCATGCCTGCAACTTGGCCCTTTCGATTCCTTCGCTATCGCTGTTAAGATCGCGTGTCATTAGGCGCTGCCAATTGCAAGTTTGCACGATCTTGTGGACTTTCTTCTTGACTCGCCGCGTGGTCGCACTGAGTAGAAGCGATACAGTTAGCATCGGCCAGCTGGCCTAACACAAATGGTGCAACTCATGATGGCTAATTTCGAGTGAAGCGCTGCACTTCTTTTACGGAATTAAGGGACGGAAATCCTTTTTCTACCTTGCGATTAGCAAAATGACGATCCTATTTTCCTTTTCTGGACATAATGGTTAGATTGCGATTTTAACCTAGCGTCTGAGATGAATTCCATTTATATTTTAAGGGCCTACGATAAGTTTCCTCTTCTACATCCTCTTTGGATTCTTTAAAGCTAGTTGTATACTTTTCGCTTTTGGTGTAGCAGGAAAGCTTCATTTCATGCATCTGGTTTGGTGGAAACGTTAGAAACTGTCTTTTGTGCATAACTTTCTATATGGTGGCTTCTGCCCAAAGCTGTTTTGTATACGGGCGGGCACCCCCTTGGTGCCTTCTTAATGAAGTCTATCTTATTATTCAAACAAGAAATAATGTTTGCATTTCATGGGTGTGTTGGCTTAGCCTCTGCAAGGTTTGGAACCTTGGTTTTAGTTCTGTTTTTGTTTAATGCTTCTATTTGAACAATATTGATGTAGTTTTGATGGCAAGTGCAGTTTGAATTGTTGGAGGACTGGAGCATTACACCTGAACAGATCTGCTTGCTAGTGCAGTTTGAATCGTTGGAGGACTAGAGCAATACACCTGAATAGATCTGCTTGTGGATATCAACCCCGGAACTTCTTTCCACGGTTTTTGTCATCTCATATCCAACGAAATGGCGATTCAAACAAGCAGGCTCATTTCCTACTCAGACGAGATTATTGGTGGACAGCCAATTTATGTGGCTTCAAATTGCCTTCCTGTGAAGGCTTTAAAATATGAACCTGCTGGACATGCCTTCCATGCTGCTGCTATGAAGCTCCTTGGTTGTGAGGAGGAGGAAGATGTGGATGGTTCTGATCAGACTGTTGTCGGGGATAAAGAGCAGACAAGCATGCCATCATTTGATTCATATAGCAGCAAAGGTAAAAAGAAAGCTGGTTCGGGGAGCAAGCAGCAAGATCATTATGCTTTATTGGGTTTAAGCCATCTGAGGTATCTTGCAACAGAAGATCAAATTAAGAAAAGCTACAGAGAGACGGCCCTGAAGTATCACCCTGACAAACAGGCCGCACTGCTTCTAGCTGAGGAAACTGAAGCTGCAAAACAAGCTAAGAAGGAGGAAATCGAAAGCCACTTCAAGGCCATCCAGGAAGCGTATGAGGCTTTGATTGATCCTTTGAAGAGGCGAATCTACGATTCCACTGATGAGTTTGACGATGAAATACCTACTGATTGTGCGCCGCAGGACTTCTTTAAGGTCTTTGCTCCTGCTTTCATGAGGAATGGTCGATGGTCAGTTAGCCAGCCGATCCCATCATTAGGTGATGATAATACACCAGTTAAGGAGGTGGACAATTTCTACAACTTTTGGTACTCTTTTAGAAGCTGGAGAGAGTTTCCCCATGCTGACGAGTTCGATCTCGAGCAAGCTGAATCTCGTGACCACAAGAGGTGGATGGAGAGGCAGAATGCAAAGCTCACAGAAAAAGCTCGAAAGGAAGAATATGCACGGGTACGCACTCTTGTTGATAATGCCTACAAGAGAGATCCAAGGATAATGAGGAGAAAGGAGGAGGAGAAAGCAGAGAGGCAGAGGAAAAAAGCGGCCAAGTATCTGGCAAAGAAGTTGCAGGAGGAAGAAGCTGCCAGAATTGCTGAAGAAGAGAAACGCCGGAAAGAGGAGGATGAAAAGCGGGCTGCTGAAGCTGCGTTACAGCAGAAGAAGGTGAAAGAGAGAGAAAAGAAGCTTCTACGCAAAGAGAGGACACGCCTTCGTACAATTTCGGCTCCTATCATATCCCAGCATTTGCTTGATCTCTCTGGAGATGATGTGGAAACACTTTGTATGTCCCTTGATATCGAGGCGCTGAGGAGCTTATGTGATCAGATGGAAGGCAGAGAAGGCTTAGAACGTGCAGAAATTCTCAGAAATGCACGAGGGGGCAATCCTGACTCGGAGGATAAAAAACAAGGCGATAAGAAGAATGAGCAACCGAATAGTTCTATGGAGGCTAATGGCAGTGTCCCATTAAGCAACTTTGAGAAGCAGGAGAAACCTTGGGGAAAAGAAGAGATTGAGCTCTTGAGGAAAGGAATGCTGAAGTATCCCAAAGGAACATCTCATAGATGGGAGGTCATATCGGAGTACATAGGTACTGGAAGATCAGTGGAAGAAATTCTGAAGGCAACAAAAACAGTGCTTCTCCAAAAGCCGGATGCTTCCAAAGCTTTCGATTCATTTCTTGAGAAAAGGAAACCAGCACAGTCAATTGTATCTCCACTTACAACTAGAGAAGAAGTAGGAGGGACAGTTACCCACACAGCTGAAAGCACTACCGTCGAGATGGATAATGGAGAGGCATCTTCGAGAAAACTTGCGAATAACCAGAATCGCGATGATTTGGTTACTGAAAACGGCAGTCCTTCAAGTTCGGAACAAGATGTTTGGTCTGCTGTTCAAGAAAGGGCACTAGTACAGGCACTAAAGACTTTCCCTAAGGAAACCAATCAGAGGTGGGAGAGAGTGGCAGCTGCAGTTCCTGGGAAGACTGTGAACCAATGCAAGAAAAAATTTGCACTGCTGAAGGAGAACTTCAGAAGCAAGAAAAACACGGCATAATGTGCCGCATCCCCTTGCGGACTTATAGAAGCGCATGTGGAGATTGTCAGTCTCTGGATGTACCCTGTGAGGTCATATTCTTCTCTTCTCATGGCAGGAATTCGATTTCTGAAATCCATGTCACGCAAGAAGAGCATTTTTTCCTGAGGAATCATTTTTGACATACCTTTATAGGCAACAATATTAGTACAGAGGGGCTCTGTGCATGGAAGTTTTCTATAGCCCCAGTTTATAGAAGCTTCTTGATAATTATGTACTTCCGACAGTCGATTAGCATACACTTTGGAAAGGGACTCCAGGCGAAGTTAGTTGGCATGATATGAGCATTATGGAATTATTCGGTCTGCTGCGAGGTTTTGAAGCAGATGCAGATGCCTTTTGAGTTTATAGCAATACTGGTTTCTTCTTTCGCTCGTCTGATGAATTTTTGTACTGACATTTTATAGTTAACCATTTCCATTTTAATGCTGTGAAACGCCGATTCTATGGTGATGTTCCGGTCAATGTAAGTGATGTCACCTGGAAAAGAGATGCTGCATTTATTTTTTGTTGGCGCAGGAGCTTGCCGCTAATCTCTGTGTGGAAGTGGAGTTATTTGACCAATTCTTCGTGCTTCATCCTTACTACGTGAATGAAAGAAAAGCATTAATGTGGGATTGATGTGAACCTCACATAGCTTGGGCACTCTCTGGTGCCTGTGCTCGAAGTGGCAATTTTTCATACGAAGTCTAGAGAGCTATCATGCGTTCAATTCTTCCTGAATGTCAAATTACTGTTTTTTTTTTTCATGGTTTTTGACATTTAGTCAAAGTGAATTGGCCTGTAGCAGCGTTCGCAGGTTGAACCTCAATTCTTTCCGTGGAAAGGAAAAGGGCTAGATATGAACCTTAGTCGCTGTCTCTTAACCAAACCATTAAGCAGCATTGAATCAGAGGGGAATCTGAGAAATGTGTAACCCATATTGTCTGCTCTGGGTCAGGCATTTCGTAATGGCGCATCGGATGCGGCTCTTCGAGTCGGCGATTCACAATTGCTATTGAACAGACAGTTAAGACAAAGGAAGAATTGCTTGTGCGATTAAATGAATGACAACCGCTCTTGTCATAAGATGTCCCTGTCCTTCATGAACCAACCCTTTCTCGAAAGGAGAGTCTCATTAGCATTTCTTTCCAGCCGGTTCACAAATTTGTCGCGATCCTTAATGGGGTCCACGCGATAGCGACCAACACGAACAAACATTTCCTAGCAAAACATGTTCGTAGTATTAAATTGAAAGTGTCAAGCATAGAGATTGCCAATTCGGGCGATATATTTAGAGTGATAATGTCTTTGCTGATTGAACGACTGGTTGTCCTGTCCACGCACCACCAAGTGAAAGTCCAAACAGCATCTTAAGCTCCTGGTGCTGGACCTGGCTCTGCTATGTAGGAGATAATGTAGACAGGCCATGTCTAATGAGAATTCCTGCTCAGCGAGGATTACAAGGAAATATCCATCGATGTCTTTCACCTCGGAGGTAACGTGTTGCGATGTTGAGTGGCCGCGTTTCTTGAAGGATGTGCATGAGGATACAACCTGTTGGCATTTGCGGGTGCCTGTCCCTTTAATGTGAACAGACTGAAGATGTCGATAAACAAAGAATGCAAGATGCGGAAAATTGGCAGATTGATCATATTTCTAGAGGCACGAAACCGCTCGTTAATATTTCAGGATGCCAGTTCACAATTTCAAGCCATTGACAACAACTAATTTCTGGAAATATCTTATCCTGGCATCCTCTGACAGTGAAGAGGAAGCCATTTTAAAGTTTTGGTCCTCGTGTGAATCAAACTCCATGGAAGGATGTATCTGGGCGAGATTTTACAATTAGTTCTCAAACAGATTAAACAAATTCATTGATAAATGTCGTTATAAGGATCCCGTCCTAGTGTAAAACATATGATAAGGACAAAAAATGGCTGGCCCATCGAACCACGAAACAGCTCGACACGATATTTGCTTTACTTCAAACTCTTGTAAGTGATAATATATATCAAAACTTTTCAGCTTTGTAGTTATCAAACAATTTATTTCCATGTGATGAGGCCACTGATCTGTCTAAAAAATATTCAATTAAGATACTGATTCAATCCTAGGTATCACCGTAAGGAAAGTACACTTATGTTCTGTCCTATAATATGAAGAAACCCCCAGGGCCATACCTCGAATATCCGAATATGCACTCAGGCCATCCCTAGAGATCCTTCTTCAGAATCACCAACATCCTATATCTCGACTGCTTTCAAACTTCTGTAATCAAGATCTGCACAGCATTGACAAGGAACCTGCTTCTGAGATCCTTGTCAATATATCAACTTCAGTCTTCTGTGCCCATCTTCTTGATGAATCTAGTCTCATGCAACAAATGTTTGAGCCAACTGTGCAAAAATTCAAATGTGACTGCTTTTAAAAATTTGTGCTATAGGATCATCACACATATCTGAAAGTCATCTTGCAGAAACTTTTAAAGCAGTTTTTGAAAACAACTTGCCGAAAAAACTATTGATTTTGAGCTTTCTACCTGTTTGTGTTATTTTTATTTTATTTTTTGCAATATTCACTTCTAGTTCAGTGAAAGCAGCAACACAAAAAAAAATGTCCTTTGAAGTTCAAAGAGTGGTGGTGATCGTGGATGCTTCGGGAGATGTTAGCCTGAGTGCAATCAAATGGGCCCTGCAAGGCTTACCACTTAAGCCTGGAGATAAGCTCCTGCTTCTTGGAGTTCTCCACCAGGTTATTAGTCCTAGTATGTTATCAAAGGCTGGAAAACTGCGTAAGATTTCAGATTTTTGTTCTCGCTTGGGAAAGATATGTGTACAGGGAAGAGAAATGACAGCATAACATTCACCACTTAACCAGTTTGTGCTTTCTAACTTGTATCATCTCTTGCCACACTCTCCTCTTCATACATCTAGTGGGCTACAAGATCAAAGTGGATTCAAGGTCAATACTTGGAGCAAATCAGAAAACCATAACGGAAGAAGTTGCACGAAAGAAGGAAGAGTACCTGAATGATAAGGAACTTAAGAAGATATATCAAGAGTGCAAGAAAGCAGAGGTGATGTCCCAAAAGTCAGGTTTACACACGCTGCTTCTTTTAAGATCTTTTTACATGGCAAGCAATTAACCACACAAAAAGTCTAGTGCAGAGGATCAGAAAGAGATCTAGAGATAAGCATTAGAGAATGATGCTGTGATACTAACTGTGCTTCCAAGACAACAATATACCTTTACCATTTTGATCTTCTAATATAAGGCTTTCCACTCATTTTTAACCTTTATCTGCCATAAGTAGATAGATTCTTTTCATAGGAAATTATTCTTCTATGCAACAAACAAGTAGTGCGTGCACTTCAATCCGCGAAATAACACATCTCCGCTTTGAGATTAAGATGATCATGCTGACAGTTTGGATTACTTTTTCAGTTGCAACTACTCTGTTAACATATGACCAGTTTTCCTTGAAATTAGGAAGTGCACTAAAAGCTGCTAATCTAATGGCCAATGCAGTGTACAGGAGACATTTGTTTACAATCATAAATTTTCACCATAATACTAATACATTAATAATTTATTCTCACAATTAATTGTTATAATTTGGTACATATATTGTTTGATAGTTTAAAAATATCAAATGAATGTGAAACAATCTCCTTGATGAAAATATTTTGGTGAGTTGAGCCACAGTTAATGCTATAAAAAAAACAAGCAGAAAGTAGATGTTGCATGGCTGGATTGTGTAGTAAAGTGATCTAGTTTTTACATGCCAATTAGTGACACTAATACAAAACAGGCAGCAAGCTTACTGTCCCTTTAGCTTCTCAATTATATACTATAAGTACAACAAATTTAGTTTCGACGCATCCACAAGCTACTTGGCTATTATAAACTTTCTTCAGATTTCTAAATCGCTTCATAAATAAGTTTTAGTCAGGTCCTCAATAGTACTGAAGATGCTGTGTGTGAATGGTTTATGTCATAAACACCACCAGGGTAAAATAACTCCTTACACAAACAGTCTCCGAATGAAAATTACATGTGTCATTTCAATATCCTAACTGTGGAATTTTCTTTATTGCACTACCTGCGTGCAGAATATGTGTCCATCTGTCCCCAAATCATTCACAACATATTTGCTATAAACTCTGTTTTTTTTTAATCTCAGAAGGAACTGAGGAAACAAATTGAAATAACTTGCCTCTCATTCTCACATTTGGAATAATTTGACAATTTAACTGAGCACACAACCAGAAGCAGCTCTGTTCACTTCGTTGTAAAGGTATATATATCTCTGGAGACATGACCGTAGATATCTGGCTGACGACATGAATGCAATACAAAATTGCTAGATTAGTTGCACAATGATGTTCACGAGGACTTCTATATGCATGCGAATTCTTCTTTCGTATCATAAGGATGAACTAGTTTACTTAGCTGCTCTGGTATAGTACTGGGAAAGATTGAAGCCAACATTTTAGCCTTGTAAACTATAGGGTAACAAAACAAACTTTTGTTTATGAAATCTCAGATTGACTTCCTGATAGATGTGAAAGCTGGGGCTTTGCCTAAGGTTGTTGCTGTAAGGACTGCCAAGAGTTTTGACGCAACATGGGTGATACTTGACAGGTTAGCCAAACTATCATGAAAACTTCTGCAAGTTCTCTGAATAATAAACTCTTTCTAAACATATGTTGCCCCCCATAATTCAGATGAAAATGTAATATAAAGTAAACAAGTAACATTAACATGCAATACTTCTCTCTCTCTTTCTCTCTCTCACAATTCATAAAATTACTAAATTGCTACACACGATTTGAGTTTTACCTTTATCATAGAAAGCAGACGTGAAGAGCAAGATGAAACTTTGACTATTGTCTAGGGCTTTTAACTCTAGTAACAAAAGCCCTCTATTTCTATGCAGTAAAAGCAAATCGTGCCAGTGAAGTAACGGTTTGGTCTATATGCATTTTAAAATCCATAATGCGAACGGGTGGTTTTTATTCTTGTTTTAGACCAGTAAGGGGAAACATTGAGCGTCAAAAACACAATAGCACAAAAAGAATTGCTATATATCTTGACACATCCTTGATGCAGGCAGATGAAGAAGGATAAGAAGTACCTCATGGAAAATCTTTCATGTGGAATAGCAAGGGTAAAAAGCAATAACCGCATTGAAGAGTTGAAAGGGCAAAAAGCCAGTGTAAACAGTAAAGTGTCCACCGGGAAAAGCACTGGTGAGAGTAGAAGCTCTCCAGGTCCTGTTACATATTATGAAATGCTACCCAGCGGCACAGAGGACGAATTGTCTCCCAGGAGTAAGTAATATATTGCCCTCTTGTATCTTGTGCGAACACCTTTGAACTCCTAACGACATTTGCACATCTTAGAAGATTCAATTCTGAGCCTCGTATTCAGTAAATAAATCTGCATCAAAGTGAGGAAATGCCGTCTGAGAGAACTTTTCTCACCTTCTCTTCTAAAACTAGCTTAAGCAGTCGCATAGATTGACTCTACAGACATGAAAGACAAAGTCCACATTGTGGGATGAGTTGATAATTTATAGTCAGCAGTCTTCCAAGTTCAAGGAGTCCGAATGCTAACATCTGATTGGATGGCTGAAAACTTGGTAGAGAAATGCTTTTTTCTTCCTTCTTTCCTCCCAAGCAGTCTGTACAACAACTCCTGAAAGAAGAACGTAGAATCACTCTATTGTATTGTTGGGAGACATATCATGTAGTCGTGACCTTTCCCTCATAAGAATCAGATATAGGTATGCTCAATATGCTCGTACACGGACGGATCATAGCATCCTATCTATGGAAATATTGTTCAAGCAAAGCACACGGTCAAAAATTATTCTGAAGACTCTGTCTAAATCTATTCCGTGTTGTTTCAGGATCTGTCAGTTTTCAAAAAAATGACAAAACAAAAGGCGAGGGTGCTGGTGCGGAACCCCCACGGCATCCTCCCATAACATCTGCATTCTCTAAATCTTCATCAAGTGAGCAGCTGATCACACCTACAGTTTCAACTTCAAGCCTGGGCTACACTGAAGCCTCAAGTTCTAGCTTTACTGAGGACCGGGGCTCCCCACTGTATTTTCGAGACGAGGAGACTACCACAAACACAGAACAGGAAACTGCCGGAGAGCAATCCCCGTTACTCACTGCAAACGTGCAAGAGGAAGATAAGACAAAACCAAATAGTGGAGTCAGTCTGGAAGATTCCCAGATACATCCCAGCAGCAAGAACACTGATTGCATGGAAGATTGTCAACAAAATGAGCAATTTAAAAACAATATATGCTCAATTTGTAAGAATAAACGTCCAAAACTTGGATGGAAGAGAGACTTCAATTATGCAGAGCTCCAAACTGCCACAGAAGGATTCGCTCCAAAGAACTACCTCTCCGAAGGTGGCTTTGGTTCTGTCTATAGAGGAGTGCTGAATGGGCTGAAAATTGCTGTTAAGCAACATAAAAGTGCCAGTTTTCAAGGAGAGAAGGAATTCAAATCTGAAGTTAATGTACTCAGTACAGCCAGGCATGAGAATTTGGTCATGCTGTTAGGATCATGTTCAGAAGGAAATCGCCGCTTGCTTGTGTACGAGTATGTCTGCAATGGTTCTCTGGATCAACATCTGTCCAGTAAGTATCTAATGCATTGAAGGCGCATGATTTTTCTAATTGTTGCTATTCTAGTTCCAAGTCGCATGATAATTTTCCTCTCGCACATTGTATGGAATTGGGTTTTTCCTGAATATGATATGCAGATAAAACTAATAACAAGGATATGTTTTCCTGGTGCAGAACACTCTCGCAGACCTCTTACTTGGGAAAAGAGGATGAGAATAGCCATGGGAGCCGCAAAAGGTTTACAGTATCTCCATGAGAAGAACATTGTCCACAGAGATATGAGACCTAACAACATCCTAGTAACACATGATTTTGAATCACTGGTAAATCCTACAGGAATCCCTCGGATCTTCATATGTTCACTTGAGTACTTTTTCAATAAAAGCTGACAGAATTGTGAAATTCAACAACTCTGCTGTCTTCCTAAACAATTGTATCTCGTTTTTCCGAGTTATCCTCAAACTCTTCAAAAGTAGGAAATTAGTTCCAAAAAAAATGATACTGTGACAAATGAGTTGTATATCTTATAATCAGAAATGGACACGTAAAACCTATATTTTTGTCATTAAAAATGTTCTTTACAAGTTTAGCACCTAACTAAAACTTTCATGAGAGGCAACATAACAAATCTGGCTAGATTAATACCACATACAACTCAATCTATTAACCTGGTACTGGAACTATTCTGCCAAACTGAAGTTTTCTAACGAATTGCATTTGTATTAGCTAGGAGATTTCGGTCTTGCAAAAACTCGACATGAAGACTCGGATTACAGCTCTGAGACAAGACTTGTTGGAACTCTAGGATATTTGGCCCCCGAATATGCAGAATATGGGAAAGTTTCTACCAAGACGGACGTGTACTCCTTTGGGGTCGTTCTGTTGCAGCTAATAACAGGACTGAAGACCACAGATAAATCTCTTGGAGGAAAAAGTCTTGTAGGATGGGTATTGGCTTCTTTATGCACTTCAACATATAATTTTATGTTGGCTATATGCACTTTGATATCTGTCTGCAAATGTAAGGTGATTAAGTTCTCCAGGTAAGGCGGTCCAGAAACAATTTCTTTCAAATTTTTCCTGCACTGTATTTTTTCAATAAAACATCAAGAAAGAAGGCCACCTAACGAGCATAAAGGCATGGAGCTGCTAGAGGGTGATTTGTTTCATAAAAGAACAAAAGTTTACTTCCTGAATTTGGTTCATTTGTTTTGGACTGCAAACAATGGCTTGTTGTTGAAAAGATCAGGTTGAAGGCAGTCTAACTTGCTCTTCATTTTGTCCCCTGTTTGTGCAACTTAATCCTTTCTTCTGTATACAAGGTTCTTCTACTGACAACTTAAAACGTTTTGCAGGCACGACCACTATTAAAAGAACGAAACTATCCAGATCTGATTGATCGCAGGATTGGAGAGTCCCATGACGTCTACCAACTGTTTTGGATGGTTCGAGTAGCAGAAAAATGTCTCAGCAAGGATCCTCAAAAGAGGATGACTATGGAGGCGGTCAGTCTTTCATTTTCACTAATATCTTGCAAGAACAGCAACAATAAAATTCAAAACACTCTCCTAAGCTAAAAGAACACGTACTGACAAAACTAAGACATGGATCTGAATGTATGAACCCCACAACAGAACCACTTGGCATTCTAAAAACCTCATAGCAGTTTTGTCATATACTCAGTTTCACGTCCTAGATTAATTGGCCTGGATTTCTGTAGAATGTGCAATGTCTTAGGTAAATAAATTACTTTCAGTCTAACCTAATAGTGGAACAACTCCTTCCTCATATTTAGTTTCTATTAAATTTATCCTGCATATCTTACTTACAGGATTATCATGGCTTTAGATACATGTAACTTCACTGCAATTATCAGTTTAAACATTCGGGTAGGACTTGTTAATATAGGTATGGGAGCTAATTTTCATTTCTTCGTGTCCCATTTCATATTTCCTTTAACTTTGGATTCTTGGTCATCTTATTCCCTGTTATTTGCCTCCAAGTCCATTTTTCATCCGGTTTCATTCGAGTTTGCACAAGAGAGGAACATAAATGTTATCCTTATGAGGTTTATTGTGGCCACGTGTAACTTAAGTAGTTAGGGTTGGACTTTCTGACTATTGATTGAAATTGTGTAGATGAACTTGAGCGAAGGAACGAGCATCTATATGTCCCTGAAAATGCAAAGAGAAATTAACGTGGCATAGTTAAAATGCTAGAGCAGATTATGCAGATTTTCAAGAAGTGGGCAAAGTCGCTCGGAGGATTTTAGAACACTAAGCTTGATCAAGAATCTGTTATTGCCGATTTCTTTAGAATATGTTGCCATTATAAATCACACAGGAGGGTTTCCTCAGTCTTCCTCCAAAACAAATGCAGGTAGTTGATGCATTCACTTACATAATGGAAGGCAAGGCAGTTTGCTACATAAGAGACTTCTCCCCAGCAAAATCAGATTCAGTCGGCAGCATGCCAGACTCCACTGAATCACAATTCGATGATAGAAGCTTCAGTGTGGACACAGCACCAATGTATGGCATGGGTTATGCGAGTGGAAGGCTTCCGCCATCACCTTCGATGAAACCCACTTCTTCTGGAACTTCCTTAAGTGATGCACAGAGCAAAGCCAGCGGCAAAGCGACCAGTACAAAGAGCGGAGAAACATCGGGGGACACCAATGCAGAATCTTCTAATGATTACTCATCACTACAAGATACAAGATACCTTCATCTGGCTTGATGCTGCCCGTGACCTTTTACCAAACTGTGTTCCTTCAACTGTGCAAGACCCAAAAGGCCAGCACATCGGAGGAAAATTTCACCAGGAGTGGACAGAAGCATGGTTTGCAGCATCATTCACTGCACGTCCGAAGACGATAGACCCAGTAAGCAGACAGGAATGCGTGCATGAAGTCGGTGACGTGACAACTTCGTTCCTTAGGGATGCCAGCCTAGTCGTCAAGTTAGCTGAGGAAAAAAAGAATGCATTTCAGGCTCAATGTAAAACAAGAATCGCACCCCTTCAAGGGTTGTAAAAACTAAAGTTCCGTGGCTGTTCCTGTCGTTCTTCATCAAAATAAAGATTTCTGCCACTCTGCTCGTTCTGGGTTTATCTTTCCCGCGCATCTTGGGATCTTGAACGGCAAAAGGACATATTTTTTCCTCACGTCATGAGAGAAAGATCGAACTAGTCTTGCAGTGGCCAAAACACATCGATGTCTTCGACCCGAAAAATGCTTCCCACTGACTAACATTCAAACGGCATCGTGCTCTGCGCCGAAAATTTCTCGACCACTTTCATGATGATCCAGTTCAAACCCAGCAAAAGAGATTGATAACAGTCATTGGCAGAGAGGAAATCGAAGATGATGATGCATTCTGTTGAATTTATGTCTTCAGTTTGAATCGTTTACGGAATGTGACTCGCTTGGATAAATTTCATATTTATCGTGAAGATATATATTTTCTTTTGGAGAAAATATTCAAAATTGCCTATAAAAGAAATCCTTCTGATGGCACGTAAAGTGAAGGACGTTTTCAACAGAGAAGGAAAACTTGTGAGTCCTGGTCAAAGTTATTCTTTGTTGACTCTTGGAATTAAATAATAAAATAAAAGAGAAAGAAGGGGCACACGTATAAAAGGCATGTTATCTTCTGCGAGGGTTTTGAAGCCGCACACGCACAGAGCCGCATTAGCCGCGAACGCCCACGAAGTTCTCAGAGAAGAAGCGCCGCACGAGAACAAGAGAAAAGAACGTACAGTCGTTCTTGGTTTCGATCGTACGAGAGCGTTTCGCTTTGGGCTTCAACACGCGGAGATTTATGCAGTGAGTTTATTTTGTCCAAATTAAGTTGTTTATTCGTAAACACTTTGGGTTTGGGCTTAAACGTAGGTGTGGAAAATACTCGAGCGTATGAGCGAATTGTAACTCTGATTCTCCGATTATAGTGGATTATTTGTTGCTGGCTCTCCCCGTGGATGTAGGTACCGATATTCGGACCGAACCACCTAAATCTCTGGTGTCCTTTATCGTTCCTTGTTTATTTCTTTGGTATTTTCGCATTGACTTAATTTGCAAGATCCTGTCGTTTCCGTGTTATATTTCCAACAATTGGTATCAGAGCTTGAGGGTTGGATTTTCTGGATTGTGATTTGGGGCTTTTGCTTGTCTGATTATTATCTGGAAATTCTGCTATTGCAATTATGTCTGGAGCGAAAGTTGAGATTGAGAAGTTTAACGGGAGGAACAACTTTGGGTTATGGAGCGTCAAGATGCGTGCGCTATTGACAACCCAAGGTTTGGCCAAAGCATTAGATGGCGAAGATGGGTTACCCATTATAATGAAAGCGGCTGATAAAGCAGAGCTAATGGAGAGAGCAAAGAGTACAATCCTGCTGAATTTATCGGATGAAGTGTTAATAGAGGTGATTGAGGAGAAGGATGCCGCAGCATTGTGGGCAAAATTACAGGCACTCTATGTAACGAAGGGTTTGAACAATCGCTTGTACATGTTGAAGAGGATGTTTCAATTTCGATATACTGAAGGTACGTCGATCAGATCCCACCTAGATGAATTTAATAAACTCACGATGGATTTGAAGAACGTCGGTAAGATACTTGATGATGAGGAACAGGGCATGATGTTATTGGCTTCTTTACCGGAATCATGGGAGCACTTTACTGATTCACTACTCCAAGGGCATACTACGATTACCTCGGAAGAGGTAAAGTCAGCATTGTTATCTAAAGAGTGGCAGAGGAAGTTGCGAGATGACAGTCTAGCGCAGGATATAGCGCGGGGACTAGTGATTCGAGGTAGAGAACAACATCGAGGGTCCAGTAGTAGCAGAGGTAAAAGCAGGTCAAAGTCACGCAATCGAAAGTCTAAGGGACGCGTGAAGTGCTTTGAGTGTCACGAGGAGGGGCACATCAGGAGAGATTGTCCGAAGCGAAGAAATAGAGGTGACAAGCAGAATGCTACAAGCAGTGTGGCAAACGTTGCTGAGGAGAGCACTAGTGATGCAGAGGCCATCTTGTGTGTGACTACTGGTTCGTTAGGAGACGAATGGGTGCTAGATTCGGGGTGTTCTTATCATATGACGCCTCATAAGAACCGGTTTACTACTTACCAGATTGCAGATGGTGGTAGAGTTCTGATGGGGAATAATGCAACCTGCAATGTTGTGGGGATAAGAACAATTCGGATTCGGATGCACGATGGGGTGGTACGCACACTGACAGACGTGAGGCATGTACCAGAGCTCAAGAAGAACCTTATTTCTCTGGGGACACTCGATGATATCGGGTGTAAGTACACCGCTGAAGGTGGAGTGCTAAAGGTCTCTCGAGGTGCCATGACAGTGATGAAGGGAAAGAAAGTGAATTCTCTCTATCATCTACTGGGAGAGACCGTGACCGGAGCTGCTGCAGTTTCATTAGGTGAGTCAGATTCTGACTTGACTCAGTTATGGCATATGCGTTTGGGGCACATGAGCGAGGCAGGTATGACGATGCTGAGTGATAGGGGGTTGTTGAAGGGTCAGAAGACAGGGAAGCTGGACTTATGTGAGCACTGCATCTTTGGGAAGCAGCGTCGGATTAAGTTTACAATAGCTGTTCATTCGACCAAGCGACCGGTTGAGTACATTCATTCAGATATCTGGGGCCCGTCTCCGGTTCCTTCAAAAGGAGGTGCCCGATATATGCTAACATTTATCGACGACTACTCTAGAAAGGTATGGGTTTACTTTCTGAAGCACAAATCTAATGTGCTTGATCGGTTCAAGAAGTTTAAGGCATTGATTGAGAAGCAGTCAGATAAACAGATCAAATGCCTGAGAACTGATAACGGCATGGAGTTCTGTGGTAAAGATTTTACCGAGTTTTGCGAGAAAGAAGGGATTGTGAGACACCGCACAGTGCCCGGGACACCACAGCAGAATGGCATTGCAGAACGGAAGAACAGAACTTTACTGGAGCGAGCTCGGAGCATGCTTTCGCATGCAGGAATAGACAAGGAATTTTGGGCCGAAGCAGTGAACATGGCATGTTACTTGGTTAATCGATCTCTATCATCTGCTATAGAGTGGAAGACCCTTGAGGAAGTATGGTCGGGGAAACCTGTTGATTACTCCGGATTACGAGTATTCGGATGTCCTGTATATGCTCATGCGAGTGATGGTAAGCTTGAGCCGAGGGCGAAGAAGTGCATATTTCTGGGTTATGCACATGGGGTGAAAGGCTATCGGCTGTGGTGCACTGATCCCAGATCACCTGGTTTTCTAATCAGTAGAGACGTGATCTTCGACGAGACTGCAATGCTTCAAAGAAGGGGTCTTGAGACACAACCAGCAGAGCAGACAGATCGTGGTGTCAGTAGTGAGGTGGAGATTCAGGTGGAGACTCCGGAGACCTCGAAGGTAACAGAAGTTGAAATTGCAGATGAGGCCGCAGTTCCTGAAGTCGGTGATAATGAACAATCAGCAGAGCCGTAACACACTATAGCCGCGGGTAGACAGAGAAGGCAAATTAAACCACCGGTACGTTATGGTTATCCAGATATTGCTTATGCATTGACTGTAGGTGACGAGGTAGAGACAGATGAGCCTTCGTTTTACTTTGAGGCGATGGCGAGTTCTGAGTCGTCGCAATGGATAGGGGCTATGAGTGAAGAGATGGAATCACTTCATCGGAATCAGACATGGGAGTTGGTCAAAGTACCTAAGAGCCAGAAGATTGTCGGTAGCAAGTGGGTCTTTAAACGGAAGTAGGGCATTCCCGGTGTCGAGGCAGCGAGATATAAGGCGAGACTTGTGGCGAAGGGGTATACACAGCGGGAGGGCATTGACTACAACGAGGTGTTCTCTCCTATGGTAAGACATACTTATATTCGTGTTTTACTTGCCTTAGTTGCTGCACAGGATCTCGAGCTGGAGCAGCTAGATGTGAAAACAGCGTTTCTTCACGATGAGTTGGAGGAGCGGATTTACATGAGGCAGCCAGAGGGATTTACTATTCCGGGTAAGGTAGATCATGTTTGTTTATTGAAGAAATCTTTATATGGGCTGAAACAGTCTCCTAGGCAGTGGTATAAGCGATTCGATTCTTTCATGGCTAGTCAGAACCATTCCAAAAGTCATATGGATAGTTGTGTTTACTATAGGAGATTGGAGGATGGGTCTTTGATATATCTGTTACTATATGTTGATGATATGTTGATAGCAGCTAAGAGCATGTCTGATATTGTTATGCTGAAGAGGCAATTGAGTGCTGAATTTGAGATGAAAGATTTAGGTGTTGCAAAGAAAATTTTGGGTATGGAGATTTTGCGTGACAGGACTGTAGGAATTTTACGTCTTTCTCGAAGAAATATATTGAGAAGATTGTTGCACGATTTAATATGCGATCAATAAATCAGAAGTACACCTTTGGCGATGCACTTTAAACTTTCAGATAAGTTATTACCGCAGACTGAGGAGGAGGAGGAGCATATGTCCCGTGTTCCTTATTCTAGTGCAGTGGGTAGTATTATGTATGCTATGGTATGCACTAGGCCCGATATTTCACAAGCAGTGAGCGTAGTTAGTCGTTATATGAAGCGTCCTGGTAAAGCTCATTGGGAAGCTGTGAAGTGGATCCTCAGATATTTGAAGGGAACAGCAGATGTTGGAATTGTGTACCAAAGGAACAGTAATGGCAGTGAGACCACTGGTTATGTGGATTCGGATCACGCAGGTGACTTGGATGAACGCAGGTCTTTAGCAGGGTACGTATTTACGCTAGCAGGTGGTGCAGTTAGTTGGAAGGCATCCTTACAGGATCACGTTGCCTTGTCTTCGACTGAGGCAGAGTACATGGCACTGACCTTTATAGTGAAAGAGGCGATATGGCTAAAAGGTTTACTCTCGGACTTTGGGTTAGATCAGAATAGTGTTGATATACACTGTGATAACCAAGGTGCGATATATCTGACATATAATCCGGTTTATCATGAGCGAACGAAGCATATCGACATTAGGTACCACTTCATCCGAGATGTCTTAGCGAAGGGTGTAGCTGTTGTTAACAAGATTGCGACAGCAGAGAATCCAGCGGACATGATGACTAAGCATGTTCCTTTGGCGAAGCTCAAGCTCTGCTTGAGCACAATTGACATCTGTGGAGAGTGAGTGCCCGTCGGGGCGTTGGGAGAGCTAGCATGGATGATGAGTACTATAACTTGGCTACAAACGTCGAGCCAAGGTAGAGAATTGTTGAATCTATGTCTCGAGTTTGAATTGTTTACGGAATGTGACTCGCTTGGATAAATTTCATATTTATCGTGAAGATATATATTTTCTTTTGGAGAAAATATTCAAAATTGCCTATAAAAGAAATCCTTCTGATGGCACGTAAAGTGAAGGACGTTTTCAACAGAGAAGGAAAACTGGTGGGCCCTGGTCAAAGTTATTCTTTGTTGACTCTTGGAATTAAATAATAAAATAAAAGAGAAAGAAGGGGCACACGTATAAAAGGCATGTTATCTTCTGCGAGGGTTTTGAAGCCGCACACGCACAGAGCCGCACTAGCCGCGAACGCCCACGAAGTTCTCAGAGAAGAAGCGCCGCACGAGAACAAGAGAAAAGAACGTACGGTCGTTCTTGGTTTCGATCGCACGAGAGCGTTTCGCTTTGGGCTTCAACACGCGAAGATTTATGCAGTGAGTTTATTTTATCCAAATTAAGTTGTTTAGTCGTAAACACTTTGGGTTTGGGCTTAAACGTAGGTGTGGGAAACACTCGAGCGTATGAGCGAATTGTAACTCTGATTCTCCGATTATAGTGGATTATTTGTTGCTGGCTCTCTCCGTGGATGTAGGTACCGATATTCGGACCGAACCACGTAAATCTCTGGTGTCCTTTATCGTTCCTTGTTTATTTCTTTGGTATTTTCGCATTAACTTAATTTGCAAGATCCTGTCGTTTCCGCGTTATATTTCCAACACATTCCCCCCAGAAAATCTCTCTCTCTCTCTCCGACGAACCTGCGAAGATTGTTCGCTCGAACAAAGCCTCGCGGGAAGTAGGCGACGGAACTTAACGGTCATTTCGCGCGAAAAAATGAAATCCCTAATTTCGGAAAAGGGGCTAATATTATTTCACTAAAAAAGGAAAAAAAAAGAAAAGAAAAAGGAGTCGATTGATTTTGTCATTGTAAATAGGGGTGATCGGAACTGGACTAAAAGGGCCGGTTCCCAATTTGTAGAACCGAATCCGGTCCGATTCCTGGGTGGGTCTCAAAATCAGTCGTATCTCCTCTATTTTTTTCCTGTTTCCCGCAAGACTGCAAGTATTGTTGCATAATCTAAACTGCTATACTAATCATACTCATGAACAAAGCTATAATGATCATCAAGAATCAAGTATGAAACGCATCGAGCTGCGAGGGAAGCTTGAGCGCTGCATGACTAAGACTGAAAGAAGTAAGAGTGAGAGGAGTGAGAAACGAGCATGCGTGCATGACTAAGACTGAAAGAAGTAAGAGTGAGACGAGTGAGAAACGAGCATGCGTACTAAATCTGAACGAGAAAAGAATGGAAATTAGGGTTTTGAAAATTTGAAATAATAAAAATAAAAAAACAGTCCGCACCTAGTTGGAATCGGGAACCGATATTTACCGTTTTCAAATTTTAGGAACCGAGATCTGGACCGATTCCCAATTCGGTTCAATTCTTAGCTGAATGATGATTTGATTTGGAAAGGACAAGAAGAAAATTTTGAGAATAGATTGCTGTTACCTTTCCTTTTTCTGGCCGTTTTCCTTTAACTAATTTTTTAAGGTGATTTAAATAATTATGTTAAGAAAATACTTTTAAAATTACTCATTTTTCGCAAAAGAAAAACCTTTGGCGTTTATTTTTAACTCATGTTCAACGTCATCATTCTATATCTTAATTGGAGGTTTGAAAAATGATGGATAAAAAGGGGGATATATCACAGCAGAATCGCAAGACACTTTAAAAGATTTTTGTTTAAATGGGGAAATACCAGATAATTATAGAACGAGAAAACCAGAAAGAAAATAATGCGAACAATCTTAGCCTGCGCCAAGCATCCAATACAGGATATTCGGTTATTCAAACAATTATAGAGGAACAAGGTCAACATACACCTAAATGCCTCTGTAGTTCAAAGTTTCACACAGGGCAAATTCCAAATACCAAATGTCTTAAGAGCAAGAGCACTAAGGAAACCACAGCCAGAATCTAATTTTGGTCATGGTGGCCTTCGTGTGTTCTGCGCGCGACTAGGATTGACTAGACAAATTATCGACAGGAACATAAGTCGATTCAGACCTCGGGGAAATTTCGGCCTAGCAAATTCTACGGAAGTCCAGGCATTTGACACGCAGAAGCCATGTTGTTCCAGGCACACGAATTAAGTCTCCATCCTTGATCTGAAGAACAAGTTCCGATGCTTTGTTTGTAGTCGTTGCAAAGATCATCTCCGAGAAGCGACACCATGGAATCAGAAATGGTAGATTGATCCTTCAGAGATCCAGAACCAAGTCCAAACCAATCTGAAGCGAGCAAAGCATCAGGCCGCATCAAGTCGCAATGGGCAGGGTTTTCATGCTTGCTCTCAGGAGACTGAACCTGGTTAAAAGGTTCCGGTTTCACATCGTATGCTGCAGAACAACCAAAACAATTGTTAAATGCTCAAGCCAGAATCAATGTGTGTCCAGCCTGAAAGAAGGAAAATTTAGGAGACTAGAGAAAAAAGGTAAAAGGCACAGACTATAGCAAAGAATAAAAAAGGAATTGCAGATATTTGCAGCCTGCTTTAATCAGGAGCCAATTAGATTGCTACATCCATTGCATCAAATTCCTTAAAAACAAAAAAATATTTGCAACCAGAAAAAAAAAATCAATTGAAGATATTCTCACCGGTGAAGGTATCGGGATGCAGTTGTTCATCCAGTGAGCTTCCACTAGTGCTCATAGGAGTGCAACCATTGAAAACTGAAGTTGCAGAATGGCCCAGTGGAGAGATGGGGTCACCATACTCTTCCCATTCAGACTTGCAAATATCCAAGGTGGAACTGCTTATATCACCAGGTGTCAAAGCAGATGAATTTGAACTTTTTTCAGGTGAATTATTTTTGGCACTGCTCATAGTCTTTGACTCGTAAACTAAAGCATCCAGCAGCCCACTGTTACGGGGAGAAAGACACTCTGATTCAGCCTTTCCAGTTCTAGCCGGAGACAGGATAAAATTGTCAACCGATTCAAGCAAAGTAGGAGGGGAAGCAGAAGTGTCCCAGCTACCTAAATCAGTTTCAGAATATTGGAGTGAAGGGAGCTCCAACTTCAAAGCCTCATAAGAGGGCTCAGAAGTCGGGGAATTGCCATTTGAAAAGGAATGGCTACCTTGAACCACACCAAAGGGCAGTGGGTTCTTATCCGGATCATGATCAATCGAAAAAGGATGGACAATAGATCGAGAAAGTTTCTCGCGGGAATCATCCTCAAATTGATGCATCAAGGGAAACGCATCTTTGAAAATACCAGCATAGCCAGGGTAAAAGGATGCTGATTGACGAAGACGTTTGTGACGAGGCATTGTTGGCGGCACTAAACCACCATATTGAGAAGAAGCAAGACCTTTCATCAGCAAGCTGGTCGCAGAAATGTCGGAAATTTCAGGAACATAAGGTAAGACACCGTGGTTGGCCTTTAGACTGTCAAATCCAACATCCGGAATCTCATAACCACTGTTCTGCAAGATCTCATGGCGACCTTTATTCCCATTGGTCATTCTGCAAAATGTCTGACCTTGTTGACCATCCTGCAATGCTTGCATGCACAACTCAGAAGGATAAAGAGGTAAGCCAGCACGTTGACGTCTCTTGATTCGCGTGTTCCAATAGTTCTTTATCTCATTATCTGTACGACCCGGCAGCTAAGAGATGCCAAAAGCAATTGAAAAAGTGACGAACGTCAGTATCTTGAACTATCCACATAGAAAGATGTATGGTAGGACAATGTTGGTGAAATAACAGGGACTGGCGTATCTAACTATTAACAAGTGCACGAAAGAAAAGGAATTGAAGGTAACATGCAGAACTGCACAATCAAAGAAAATCAAAGGAACAGGAAAAAACGAAGTAAAAGAAAAGTGTTGCAAATCCTTAATGAACCTAGGTCCACACAAGGCTGTAGGCCAGTGGAGTAATTGTCCTCAAAATGTGCTCTTTTGCTGTCCAGTGTACTTATAAAGGTCCCTCTGCATCATCTTATTGTTTTTTCAAAGCACGCATAAGGAGTTAAGGTCATCCGCATTTCCTTTGTGAATTCTTCTCATTTTATAACACACTCATCCAGCCAAACCAAACAGAAAGAGCCATGATCCCGGCATGGATATATATATATATATATATACAATAATGCTGCTCATGGTGCAAGAATGCCATCTGTAATTAGCAGCATAAAGTAACAGGAGAGCTGCCTATTATTTTCTAATTCAAAACCACAGTTTCAGCAAAGCGTCACTACCAGTGCTTGTATTAGTGAATTCCAAATGCTTAATTGACTTCATGTACAACTGAATGATCCAGAGGTCTTGCAACCTGAAGCTCACCACAGACAATTACTGCAAAGTGCAACCGACCAATACATACTCATCTGACACAACACCATCTCAACAAATGAAATATTAGAACCCTGATGGTTGCATATTAACTGTCTCGAACCTCATGGGACTATGATAGTCTGTCAAAGGGTAAACTAGTTTTCTCGGGTACTGCAGAATCTTCACATCAAGGAGTAGAGTTCCAAATGACTGTTTCAGAGTTTTCAAAAACCTTAAGTAGAATATATGAAAGGGACTTCAAACATGGTAGAAAACCGACCAAATTCAGAAATTCAGTATAAACTTTTTCAGACTGGAAGCAAAATTATAACTCTCCAGTGATCTGCCCTATTAAACAGACCTATACTCAAACGGCTTCCAAATTCATTGCATGCCAACACTGGCAATTTCAACCATGCAAGAAGCTACACTGGATACTTTTCATCTAAACCAAAGGAAAATTAGACTAAAAGACATACATCAGATGCAATCTAATCCACTAACTAAACAATATATCACATATCTTGTACAACGCAGATAAGACAGAAAATCCTTATATTTTAATTTCACCAGGTAAACTGTGCAGGAAGCAAACAAGAATAATAACGAAAGCAAGAGACAGCTCCTCCTTCAATATCTAGATAAGGAAGTAGAGCAATTACATGTGCAGCCATGCGGGCCCATTTGTTTCCCATTTTTGCATGGAGCTCCACGATGAGTCTTTCTTCCTCCGCAGAAAATGCTCCTTTCTTCAAGTTTGGCCGCAAGTGATTTGCCCATCGCAACCGGCAACTCTTGCCACAACGAGAAAGCCCTGAGAACCTTTGAACAGCATTCCAATTTCCCTCCCCATGCTTCTTGACATAGTCCACCAAAATGGCATCTTCAGCAGACGTCCATGGACCCTTCTTCAGAACCAATCCGCCATCTGCACTTCCTCCACTCTTGCCTTGGTCCATCAAAGGGGAGCCAATCTGATCCTGGCAGAGTACCCCATCATCACTCTCAAATGTTGCGTGGCTCATATCTTTCGACTGTATTTGCACAGCAATCCTTTCCAGAAGTGCAACAGGGCGGTGACAATCTAACTGCCAGAGAACGAATTTGTAACAGAGCATGTTAAATACAACGTGGTAGCTAGGGAGACATTCTCAATCTTCCAAGAAAACCATCCAAATTGATGACGATATTTCAAGAGTTCCCTCTTGGCGAAACAAGATAAAGGCCCACAGAGAGAAGAGACGTCAATCAAAATTGGAGAAGGCCCTAAAAACAAAGCGTGTAAACAGCTAACAGAAAAAACAACTATTAAAGAAAAAGTAGAACCAAGCTTTCATCAAATGCTAATTGAACAAAAATTATAAGACAAGTCGTCTTCTGAGACTGATGTCCAACAAGAAGATTGGGGTCATGAGGAATTAATAATAATCTCTATGTTCAACAAAGTCTCATCCAACTAGGCGTATCGAAAAAGCAAGGAAAAAGGCAAAGCATGGAAGTAAATAAACCCGGTCCGGTGCTTTGAGATTGCACTTGAGCAGAATTCATTTTGCTCACCAACCTTAGAACCACAACGCCATCTACTGCAGAGAATTCCCAACAATCATTACACAACAAAACTGCGCAAACTTCAATCAAGACATTACTAGATATAACAGGGTCTTCCTTAGCAAGACCAAACAATCATGAGGGACGACAATTCTAGCAAACTTTTAACCATTTTCGCACAAATCAGATCCAACCCAACGCGAAGGAATTGCGCACCTGAATCTGGCCACGACAGAGCAGAAGCAAGATTTTCGAATCCGCGAAAAAAGGGAACTGCTTTCTCCGACCGATCAATCCACCGCCAATTAGCAATTTCCAGGATCAAGGTCTCGAATTGAGCTAAGTCGCCCAGGAACAGCTACGCACGGAACACCTGAAACCCCCCCCCCCCCCAAAAAAAAGAAGAAAACCATCAAATCAACAGAAGAAAAAAAAAAAAAACCCAGAAGCTCCGCAAGCTGAAACCCGTCCCGTATCATCATCAACCCTCGCGGGAAAACGGTAAAGGGGAACCTTCTTCATTACAAACAACACAACCACGGCAACGCTCCCCGCAGATCCGGAAAATGCAAGAAAAAACCCCCCACGCACCCGCAAAAACAAGAAACGAAAAGGAAAACCCTAACTCTGACCTCAATACAGATCACGAGAGCCTAGGGAGCCGAGGACCCTCGCGCAGGAAAGTACAGAACATCGAGAGATCCAAACACGCACGCACCCACCCACACACATTCACAGGAACGAGAGAGAATGCGACTTTTGCTCTCTAGAGAGAGAGAGAGAGAGAGGGAAGATTTTTCAGGGAAAGGGGGAGGGAGGGAGAGGCGGGCGAGGAACGAAATCGATTGAGTGGAGAAATGGCAAAACCGGAGAGAATTCAGGGGAGACAAACGCGGAGAAGGCAACAGCTTTTCTTTTTTCAATTCTCCCCCCCCAATCAAAGTTTCGTGCTCATGCGAAAAACGCCATCATCACATAGCCATCGCCATCGCCATCGCCACCGCCATGGACAGGAAAGAGGAGACGCAGACCTTACTCTTTCACCTCACAGACGCCATGATCGGTCGATGCACTTCACAGAAGAGATAGAGAGAGAGAGAGAGAAGGAATGATATCCTCCATTTTCGCGGACCTTCAAAAGACGCATGAGCATGAACACCTCCCTCTCGCTCTCTCTCTCTCTCTTCTTCTTCTTCTTCTTCTTCCTCCTCCTGCTTCTTCTCCTGCTGCTTCTTCTTCTCTCTCTTTCTCGCGCATTCGAATGGCTATGGCTTCGAGAGGGGAAGGGAAGCGATTATTATTATTATTTTTTTAAATGGAAAATTGAAAATCGTTTTTTGGTTGACCAAAGTCAAGAAGAAGGTGATAATTGTAAACAAAACAAAGTCCCGCGAGGGGGTTGCGCGTGTACTTCTGCGATTCGCGAGTGGGGCGTGCGGGCTCACGCGCGGCGTGGGCGCGTGCGGAGCTGGGGGACTAACATTGCCATGCGGGTGCGATGATGATTGGGCACGCGGGATCTGCACATGGAGATGGAGAGAGAGAGAGAGTGAGAGAGAGAGAGAGGATTTTCCCCTGATTTCCCCGATTTTGGGCTTCTTGGGCGGGGGGCCACTTTCTTTGCTTCTGTCCTCGATGGATCGAACGAGGTGATTTTTCTTAAATATCTTATGAAAATCCTAAAACTTATCGTGAAAATACAATTGAATCCTAAAAAATTTATTATGAAAGCATAATCAAATTTTAAAACTTAAAAAAAAATTACAATCGAGTCATAAAACTTTAAAAATAGTATAGCCAACGGAAGGACTTGATTGGACTAATTTGATAAGTTTCGGGATTTGCTTGAACTTTTCGAAAGTTTTGTGATTTAATTCCACTTTGGTAATAAGTTTTAGGACTTAATTATACTTTATAAAATTTTATTACTCAATGACGCTTTCGTGACAAGTTTTAGAACTTCCAATGCACTTATCCTTTTTTTTATAGTGTTTTTCTCGTTTTTCTATTAACTTTCTATATTTTCCACACTTTTTTGGGGGAGTTTTAAAGTTTATCTAAATATTTCCTTAGGTCTGACCAAAAAATATATATTTCCTTAAGATCGATATATGAAATTGCTTAAAATAAAAGTCAAGCCAAATAGGCCACCACCTTTTTCCTAATGATTATCTAATATTATTTTAAATGATTTCCAATTTAAGAACACGAAAGAAAAAAATTAATCTCGATAAGAATCAATTCGAAACAATATTGTTATCAACTGCACCAACATCGCAAGGAGACTCACATTTTAGGGGTCTTGCTCGGTCAAAATAAAGAGTTTTTCATTTATCCGCGAACATGCATGTACTAAAAGTTGTTCCGACGAAGTTTCATCGAATTTGATCGATTAATCATGATAATTAGATCCTTACAAGATCTCACTCGAAGTGTGACAGATTTCTAAGTCACACGAAGAAAGAAAATGACCAAAAATAAAAGAATCTATTTTTGTCACACTAGAAGTGCCCTTTGTCCCCTACCCAGCACGACCATGACAAATTTTTTTTATTTTTTTGGTCAAGTGCATGACCATGACAATTCAAGAGCCTCTTTCTTATGTACTCATGCCCCACTCAAACATCCAAAACAATGAATTCATCAAACCCACCCCCGATTTCAGCAAAAACCCACCAAAAACCATTCAGCGCAGTACCATCTCTCTTGTTAAAATTAATATTAATTTTCGGTCAGACACTGCGACTCATCCCTACTTTCCACAAGTCGAGCAGCGCGTGAGATCATCATCGCTTGTTAAAATTAATATTCCTTTCGATCCCTTTTTGCCCATTGGATCACCAGGCCTTAGATCCCGCTCCATGAACGCCCCCGTTTCCGACAGTTCGAGCGGCGTGAAAGAGAAGTCGGCGGAATCTTTGCCGAGATGATGGCGGGCGGGGGGTGGCGATGGGTCATGCAAAGCGATGGAGAGAAACCCTTTGACCCGCATCGGAGTCTCGAGCATTTTTAGGGAGGGGATTCTCACATCATCTATCTCTTTTCACCACGATCCAAAAGCTGACCAAACTACAGCGTTCTAAAAGGGAAGGGGAGCGACCCAGTTGTCTTTTGTCTGCTCTCTCCAGTTTTTCGTATCGAGAAAGGCAAGATCTTCCGGATTGGTCCGATCATTGAGTTTCGGGAAATCTTTCCCCCACGTTCCTTACCCTTTCGAGCAAGTTGACAGCCCAAGCAACTACGACCCTGAGAAGCCGAAATATTTGCTGATGCCGCCACTCGTATATCGCGCGTCATTTTCCCGGAAAGTGACGACTTGCGGCCAGAAAGAGGAGGCTGCCTAACCGGAAAGCGAAGGGGGCAAGATCCGTGGAGATGTGTGCGTGTGGAAATCGTGACAAAAAGACAAAAGATCAAGTGATGAAGTTTGGAGGGGAGGCTTTCTCGTGATGAGAAGTGGAAGCCCATACGTATCGCTTTCTTTTTTCTAAGTCCGGCAGAGGAAAGGAGTGACCCAGTTGCGAGCAAATGACGTAAGCGGCTTCGGAGGATGCATGCCATCTATGCCGTGAGCTGTAGTATGGCGCGAGCGCATTTGGGAGGAAAGGAGGAGAAGAAAAAGGCTTACGTGGTCTGCCCGCCTTTTTCTTCTTCTTTGATTGGAGGAATTATTTTGCGACCAGGCTTACGTATTCGTTTGATTTTTTTTTTGTCCTGGGGCTTGATCTTTGATTGAGAAAGAGACGAATCGAAGAGCAAATGTAGAGCTGATGGTTTGGTTGGGCCGTCTTTGTTAGCGACGGACTCGACAAGTTCGGGCCCAACGGGACAAGGCAAAGCAAACATGCTTTGCATAAAATAAAATAAAAACCTTTGTCGCTGACAAGTGATGCGTAGAAGCGTTTGAAACATTAAAATGAACGGGAGATTATGGTTCGAGATGGTACTGAATCACAGGATCTTGCATCATAAGTTATAGGAGGGCGCTAGGGCCGACTGTTAGAAATGTTAAAATTGTTTTTGGTTTTTTTTTTAAAATTTTTCCTTAAGAAGCAAGTTGATCTACAATCTTCTGTCACAAGATGATTCAAAACCTGATATTCAAGTTTTGACGAGTCAAATTTATTTAATAAAGAAGAAAACTTCGCCGCCTTAGAAGTAGTATAAATAGGCATGTCCCCTCCCCATTGGTGTTAACGTGTAGAAAGCCTTAGAAATAAGAGAGAGTTGAGAGAAAAAGCTTGTAAAGGTAAGCTTTCCCTCAACAAAATCTTCAAAGTTTCTCTATATCCTTTTTGGTTTCAACACTGACCGCATCTGAAATGGATGGAGAACTTCAATTTCGTAAAAACATGGACTCCAATTTCGACTGAATTCGAGACGAGATGGTGCTGCCAGAACCCATTGTGTGCAGGTGCAGCGGCAGTGCATGAAGAAGGGTTGCTTCGATTACATTCTCCTCCGCTGCAGATAATCTATTTCGTCCTTGTATATGCAGCTTCATGTGAGCTCAGGTTCTCCTTTTCTTAGAACGAGACAACGCAAAAAGATGGTAGAAGTTTGCTAATTCTCTTTCGATGTTAATCTACCTGGAAGTGGAAGTATCAGTTCTAAGCTTCGCACCGAATTCCTGGTTGGAGTCTCATCTTCTCCATTTCCTCTAAACCAACAACAGGAAAAGAGTCGAAAGAAAGAGAGAAGTGTACCGGAGACGCCGGACACGGTTTTAGGGCCGGAAATCGGGTAAAATGGGAGGCGGGTCTCTTCAACGATGGCACGGGCCAATGTGGTCCCGCCACAACCCGGTGGCCTGGTCCGCGCGACGAGATCCCGGACATGGGCCTAACCCCGAGCAAACTGGACAGCCGCGGGTATCACACTGCAACAGCACCTCCTTCGCCGCTGTCAATTCGAGTCGAATCCAAATCCTTCATAGCCTCATCAACCCTCTCGGGCCTCTTGTTCGTGAGGTTTAGGGTCGCCTTAGCTCGCTCGGAGCATCAACTTCATCAAGTCAAACTCCGGCTCCACATTCCGCTAATCAGTCGCGTCCTCCATCGACGATTCTGCCAGAGAACGGTCCCGATAGTCACGCAATCGCCTCCTCCCCGACCTCTTCCTCGAGGAACTGGATCTCTCGCTCAGTTTGTCCCCGCTCCGTTCGTGGTCGGACCGAAGTTCCAATCATTGTTCTCTTTCGCCATGGTTTCCTCTTCTCGCGGATGACTCTAGGGCTTTGCGGACGGCGGTCGCCTGATCCGCCATTACTCGGGGAAGCTCTCGCAGAGACGCCTGGCGAGGTCCTCCGCGGTCGACCCATCGTGCGCTTGTTCACGGCCGACGGCGGCCTTGCACCGCCGGCACGAACGCCATCGCTGACCCCTGTAAACCGAGATGGTCTCCGATGGTGCAAAAGATCGCTTGCGTCGAAAGTTAGTTATAAACCAGCCGGCGTTGGTGTCCAACGTTTTCGTAAAGTATCTTTTAAGGAAAACTTCCCGCTAAAATTGGAAAATTATATGCCAGGTGGATTTATTAATCTTTTTGTTTTCATTTCGGAAAATTACAGGTCTTTTGAATTAAAAAAAAAAAAGATAAGTGAGTAATGAGATTTGAATTAAAAGATAAAATTTTACAAGCGCGGTACAATTCGTTCGAAACCGTCTTAAAAAAACATTTGATAATAAATATTGTAAAACAAATCTTCTGTTCATTCCTTGCTTAAAGCGCATTGGGATGGTAACTTTTTTTCTTTTGCCCCGACATTAAGATGGTAATTTGAACAGTAGATAAAATCCGAATTTAATTTCTAGGATAGGAAATGCACAATCCACATTGAAATTCATCTAATCTTGCCGTAACTCAGTTATTATCTTTTTATAGATCAAATCTGCAAGTATAGTTCATTTATTATACATTCGAAGTTTTCTTCTTCTCTTTTCACTTTCATCATGTGAATATGAGAAACACTTAGCACACTCACTCAATCAACAGGCGGGCTTAATCTCGTACCGAACCTAACAGCCCTTGGCTAACCCCTACCCATGATATTTCTTCATAAAATGACCTGGCATAATCCAGCCACAGCGTGCAAGCCCGAGTCCATTGCAAGAAAGGAATACCCTTGCGTAGGCCATTCGAGATATGCTTCAGGTTTGGCCAAGCCAAGCACGTCAATAGGCCAATGATCGAATT